GTCTAATAAAACAAGAGAGTGGTTGTTTGTTTTGTGAGCAATAAAATAATTTAAAAATAATTTTTAATGATACAATAGCAATGATTATTATTTAAATTTGTTAGGCTTAACATTGATGAAAATTCAATGTGAAGTAGGTTTATAGCAATATACTAATATACTAATTACATGGGATATACTAATACAGTATAATAATATACTATACTAATAATGTATTTTTTCATACTTTTCAGTTATCCGTTTTTTCAGTTATCCGACCAACCCCAGTCCCCAATTGAGTCGGATAATCGATGCTCTACTGTAATGACATTTATATAAGAAAAGTAACTATAAAATTATGATAAAAATACAGGTAACCCCCATATAACACGGTAGTTATGTTCCAAAAAATTGCCATGTTAAGCGAATCCGTGTTTTGCGAATCAAAGAACTAGTACGAAAAGGAGGGTTAGGTTCCAAAAATTAAAAAACATGCTACTATATTTTCATAATTAAGTTCAATATCTTTATTAAAATTTTCTTAAGTGATACATATTAATATAAATTAAACAATGTTTTCTTTGTCATCACTAAAAGCACTATTAACTGAGAGTGTTTTATTTTTGGCAAGTTATCATTATCCTCTGAGCGTTTTTCTGCATTATTTTCAGTTTCATGCTTTACCTTATGCAAAAAGTGTATGTAATTTTAGATTGCTTGCTTCTAGTTAAAAGATCTTTATAAATTTCCTTATATGGTGCTAAGTACTTATGGAATAAGGGAAAAACATCTGGCAACACCAGAAGCAGAAGCATCGAGATATGGCAAAATTGAAACAATTTTCGGGAAGGACCATGTGTATGGAGACGAGAAAAGAAAATTTACACACTGAAGTACTAATAGTTCACGAAAATAATAATTTTCATGAACTATTAGTACTCAAGTATGTAAAAATTTATTACATTTCATGTTGTACGAGGGTTTTACCCATTTCTCGAACTGTGTCAGAGTGAATCTGTGCTATAAAAGTGCCGTGTTATATGGGGGTTACCTGTAGTATAAAAACATTTTTAAAATTCATAATGAAAAAATGCAGAATGCATAAGAAACAAAACAGATGAAAAAATCAGAGCATATGTCAACTTTCACATGTCTCTTTCCATCCCTTTCATAGACTCTTCCAGCTCAGGCTGACTCATGTCCACTCTTTAGCTACATGGACTGTACAGCAGTATCTTTCAACCATTAGATCTTCACATCATAATGAATTTTAAAATTTACTACAAACAACTGCTTGTAATATTTTGCTATTTTATTATTAGAGAGATAGAAAGAAAGCAGAAACTAAAATCAATGTTTTACAGGTTAATTCAAGTGATTAAATATCATCACTTAAAGATGTTGGAGGTGAAGAAAAAGAAGAGAGTGGTGGTGGTGATCCATTACAAGTCCAGATTTTAAAAAGTGCATTCTATATCTTAACCACTATCAGATATAGTATTATGTAATAACATGGATGAAGAAAAATTCAAATGTATGAGCGATTTAGAGAAATTAATAGATGAAATACATACAAAAAATTGTTGTAAAGCTAAAGTTATTGATTTTTAAAAATAATTTATTGCAATTGTTACACTTTATTGTCATTCTATCACACTTTTCTTTGTTATTTTTCTTTGTTATAATCAGCCATTTTGGCTTTACATTATATGTAAAATTAGTAAAATAAATAAAGTTTTTTTTTTGTCAATTTACTCCAATAGTTTTTATGAGATATAGCTTAATAAATATTCAATACTTATAAATAGAGTAAATAAAACTGCATCATTTTCATTTATTCCTTTTTCAAAATTATGATTATACTTAATATTATATTTAAAAATGCTTAAAATCAACATTTAGTCAATTTATATGTGCACACAAAATGATATAACTGCCTCTTAAATGTAGATTCCCTGTCTGTCTTGTTCATCTGCAGAAAAACAGTTTCCAGCTATTCATTTTTGAAGAAACTATCTGAAATAATGCCTAACAGGTTTTATGGTATTATATTATTTAGGAAAAATCAGTTTTTCTGATTTTGATTGTAATTTATTGTTATACTGAATTTTGTTAGTTTATTCCTAGTGATGAGTGTAAATTCAGAAATACAAACAACATATATAATACTTTAAAATGAACAGATTTAAGAAAAAATAAAAAATTAAGTATTTCAGAAACTATTTTATAAGTTTGAGAATTTTTCTTGCATAATCAGTATTATTGCTCAAGTATATGAAATATATTATAAGATTCAAACATAGCAAACTTTGAGACTGAAATAATTAATAATATATATCCATCAATTTCATATCCATTCATAGTAATTCCAATTAGTTAATGAAATCAATTTTTATATATTTTTTTATTTATTATTTCTTATTATATTGGGTATGTTAGTAAATATATTATTTTACCACTTAATATATTTTTTATTAAAAATTATAAAAAACAGTAGTCCAAATAACTTATTAATAACATTAGTATTAATGCATAGAATATAAATGATCAATTTATTTTTTCATTTATCTCTAATGAAATACTTAATGAACAAACCTCCTCTTTTCTTTGTGTACACTCTTATCAAGGCTAAATAATCCCAGAGCATTTCCAATAAATAATCCAGATTTAATTTCATATTACAACTGTAATATAATCAGGCCTATTAAAATTTTTGATTACATAAAAATGTGATATATACTAATTAATTTCACATAAATATCAATATTAGAGAGATCAACTTTAAACATTAGTATTATAAAATTTATTATATTATTATTAAAAACAAAATTTATATAATAATTCTGAACAGTAAATTCCAACATTGTATGGTATACAGTTCACATGAAAAGAATGTTCCAAACTGAACTAAACTGAGACTGATAGAGAGTTAACAGCAACCAAAGCAGAAAATTTATGAGACTGACTAGAAAACTGATTCCATTTAAAAACTGAAAAACTACATCAAGTCAAAATTTCACTAGTTTATCCTAGAACACTTCCAGAAACTTTACATTCCTTGAAGATGAAAGTGAAGCAAATTATGAATGTGATTCTGTTCTAAAGTAATCAAACTTTTTATTTATCTTCTACATACAGCAAAGCAGCAAAGATGCTAGAAAATCAGTCTCTCCATGACTAACAATCATCATCCATAAAAAAACAGATAAAATATAAATAATAAAAATAAAAGTGACTTATTAAATTCTGAAAGCAAAAACTTATGTCAGATTTATTTGAAATAAATAATGAAAATTATTTCTCCAAATTAATTGTTGATATACTCATTTATATTTGTTGTCAAACATTTTTCTAATAGTGGTTGATATTAAAGCAATGAAGGTAGATATTGTATTTTTACTTGATGAAATGTATCTTTATAGACATTATCTTTTATTAATTATAAAAAAAACTGATAGTTTTATAATAAACAATCCTCATTTACTTTAGAGAAATTTCTCAAAAACTATTTATTCTTGAGTAGCAATGACTTAGTTGTTTATTTTATTTCTTTTCAGACTCCAATCTGAGCACAACATAAATTGTTTTTGTCTAATAAAACAAGAACAGAGAACACTATCTGTTCTCCTCTTGTTGTATCTTTATTCTTGATGATAATCCATGTGCTATGTCTTTTTGTGTAGCTCTGAATACTTTCTTGTTATTGACTAGGTGCATGGTGTTTTAGTTTTACCACATTTATATATAGTTAACTAATAATAATTTTAAAAGTAATTATAAGAGTTAATATTAAAGAAAAATTTTTATTATAAAAATTATTAATCAAATATGAAATATATGATAATTAATAATTTTTATAATACACTCACTGGCCAATTAATTAGAAACAGCAGTTTAATATTTTATTGGACCATCTTTAGCTCATCTTACATCATTTACTTGCTTTGGCATGGATTCTACAAGATGCTGAAGTGCTTCTAAGTTCAATGCACACCAGGCATTCACTTGACTTTCCTTTAATTTGCATAGATTTGACGAAAGCAGATTTTGCTGGCAGATCTGTCATTCTAACATGTCCTATATGTTCTCAATGGGGTTAAGATCTGGGCTCTGGTGACCAGGGTGGGTGGCAAAAGTCGTCTTCATGCTCACTGAACCACTGTTGAACAGTTCTTGCACAATGGACAGTAGTGTTGTCATCAAAGAAAGAACCATCACATGCAGGAAAAAAATGCAACATTTCAGAATGAACTTGATTGGTAACAACGTTCAGGTACTCGGTGGAAGTCACCAGACCTTCCAGGAATATCAGCAGATCAGTTACATTCCAACAGAACATGCCCCATACCATAACATCCCCATCAGAACCTTGAATCATGTTAACGAGGCAAGCAAGATCCATTGCTTCATGGGACTCCCTCCAAACTCTCTGTCTACCATTAGTACAGAATAAGGTGTACCATGATTTGTCTGACCATATTACTTTTTTCCAGTCCTCAGATGTCCAATCATGGCACTCTTGGCACCACTCTAGATCAGTGGTTCCCAATTAGTTTTTCCTGCGTACCACTTCAAGAAAGAGCTCAAACTTGCATACCCCTTATAGCAGAAATTCATATTAATCCATACTAATATTATAAATTCGAAGGTAATGCTGTCTGTCTGTTATCTTTTCACGTCTAAACCGCTGAATGGGTTTTAATAAAATTTGGCACAAAGATAGCTTACATGTTGGATAGGCTACATTTTACTGCGAGAAAATATCTTACTCCCACGAGAAAATTTGATATAATGCGGGTGAAGCTGTGGGAAAACAGCTAGTGATAAATAGAACAAGTTTTTTTTTTTACTTTTATTACCTTTAAAATACAATTCTAATAATAATGAAAATAACATAAGGTTATTTAATTTTAATGCGACANTTGTTTATTTTATTTCTTTTCAGACTCCAATCTGAGCACAACATAAATTGTTTTTGTCTAATAAAACAAGAACAGAGAACACTATCTGTTCTCCTCTTGTTGTATCTTTATTCTTGATGATAATCCATGTGCTATGTCTTTTTGTGTAGCTCTGAATACTTTCTTGTTATTGACTAGGTGCATGGTGTTTTAGTTTTACCACATTTATATATAGTTAACTAATAATAATTTTAAAAGTAATTATAAGAGTTAATATTAAAGAAAAATTTTTATTATAAAAATTATTAATCAAATATGAAATATATGATAATTAATAATTTTTATAATACACTCACTGGCCAATTAATTAGAAACAGCAGTTTAATATTTTATTGGACCATCTTTAGCTCATCTTACATCATTTACTTGCTTTGGCATGGATTCTACAAGATGCTGAAGTGCTTCTAAGTTCAATGCACACCAGGCATTCACTTGACTTTCCTTTAATTTGCATAGATTTGACGAAAGCAGATTTTGCTGGCAGATCTGTCATTCTAACATGTCCTATATGTTCTCAATGGGGTTAAGATCTGGGCTCTGGTGACCAGGGTGGGTGGCAAAAGTCGTCTTCATGCTCACTGAACCACTGTTGAACAGTTCTTGCACAATGGACAGTAGTGTTGTCATCAAAGAAAGAACCATCACATGCAGGAAAAAAATGCAACATTTCAGAATGAACTTGATTGGTAACAACGTTCAGGTACTCGGTGGAAGTCACCAGACCTTCCAGGAATATCAGCAGATCAGTTACATTCCAACAGAACATGCCCCATACCATAACATCCCCATCAGAACCTTGAATCATGTTAACGAGGCAAGCAAGATCCATTGCTTCATGGGACTCCCTCCAAACTCTCTGTCTACCATTAGTACAGAATAAGGTGTACCATGATTTGTCTGACCATATTACTTTTTTCCAGTCCTCAGATGTCCAATCATGGCACTCTTGGCACCACTCTAGATCAGTGGTTCCCAATTAGTTTTTCCTGCGTACCACTTCAAGAAAGAGCTCAAACTTGCATACCCCTTATAGCAGAAATTCATATTAATCCATACTAATATTATAAATTCGAAGGTAATTCTGTCTGTCTGTTATCTTTTCACGTCTAAACCGCTGAATGGGTTTTAATAAAATTTGGCACAAAGATAGCTTACATGTTGGATAGGCTACATTTTACTGCGAGAAAATATCTTACTCCCACGAGAAAATTTGATATAATGCGGGTGAAGCTGTGGGAAAACAGCTAGTGATAAATAGAACAAGTTTTTTTTTTTTACTTTTATTACCTTTAAAATACAATTCTAATAATAATGAAAATAACATAAGGTTATTTAATTAATTTTAATATCACAAATGTGCATGATTTTCTTTGCACAACTTTGTAAATTCTGATTGCTATTTGGTCAGCTTCAGTCTCGAGTCATCTTCGAGTTGAAGTCGGTAACGATGTTCAGTTTTCATGTTTGTCATGGTCGAAAATCTGCTCTCGTAGAAGTATGTTGTGCAAAATGGTAGTAAATATTTTATTGCTGCTTTGCTGACATGATGATAATGTTAATTGTACAATTTTTGTTTCTTGTGTAAGAATTTTATTTAGGTATTGTCACAAAATGCATTTTTTTTTATGAAATTTCAAGAATATTTTTACTTATAAATAAACAAATTTGTGCATTCAGCATCATGTTGTAAATTGTAAAATTTTTGATGGTCCACCCATTATTTTTTTAATTGCTTCATCTCATGCATTTAAATTTTAAATTGCCCGATTTTAGATTGCCGCGTGTTGTGCCTTTATGCAATTTCGCATATCCCTGAGGGTACGCATACCACTAATTGGGAACCATTGCTATAGATGAACTTTCTGGTTCTTCGCAGAAATCAGTGGTTTTCATATAGGCCTGCAACTGTTCATACTGATTTTTTCAATTCCCTGTGCATAGTTTGGGTAGATGTGGGTCAGGGACTGGATTCATTAAATACTTTCATCAATTGCTGCACAGAGGAAGTCCTTTTTTCCACACTAGCCTTTTCAGATGATGTCAATCGCATTCCTGATGAACTGTTTTGGAGCCACAGTTACCTCTTTTAGACACCGACTTTGGGTTATTTTTTTCACTGATTGAACACTCAGGATATCTCACCTTTGGAAAAACCAGTCAGCTCTACAATTCTTGATATTGTGGCTCCAGTGAGACAGGCACCCACAATCAGTCCTTTTTGAAACTTTGTTAAGTCCTTTGCTTTTCCCATTTTCATAAACTTAATGATCACACTGACCAACAGCATTCTTAAATAGGAGCTTGTAAACACATGGTAACGCACATGACTCAAGCGTTTTGCATATAAGCTGCAAAATTACACTTACTTAATGTGCATGGGGGTTTCTAATTCATTGGCCAGTGAATGTAGTATGATATTACAATTAGTACATCTACCTAACAACAACACTGTGAGGTTGACGAGCCAATCGATCTACTTCTTCAATTGATACTTGATCAATTTTATTATATACATATAAGCAAGACAAGTAGATTCTATTTCTTGAAATCACGTCTATAAGTTCATCAGTTGTGCAATCTTCTCGAAATAGTACTTCTGCATTAAAAATCTCTAAATCATAATTAAGTAAAATATAAATAATAAAAGAATGACTTTATGCATATATTAAAAAGGATAACAACTAAATTCTGTAATCTTGAATTAAAAATATAATTTCATACATTATGTAAGAACATTTATATCTATAGACCAGTAATTCTCAACCTTTTTTTCGTCATGGTACACTTTTAATGATTTAAAAAGTTCACACAGTTACTTCGGTAAGTACCACAGGACAACCGGTGACATCATAACAGTGATTTTTAAATGCAGTTGGTTACTTAGGTCACGTTTTTTAAATGACTTGGTAACTACCGGCAGTTACCGGTAACACTGGTTACAATTTCCAAACGCATCCTAGGAAGGTAGAACTAATTGAACTACTTGTCTGATGTCACTTATGTATGGGTATTTGCAGTGGCAGCACACTTCAAAAATCTTGCAGCAAACTAAAGTGCCATGGCACAGTGGTTGAAAATCACTGCTACAGACTATAATATTAATCTCTTTATCAGAGTAACTTAGTTAATAGCTAAAATAATTTTTAGAAGGCAAAAATCTTACTTTCTATCAAATAATTTGTCATAATTTTGACAATTTTCTTCAGCAGTTTGATTAACCACTCAGTAGTGACTGACGGATATATCCATCAAAAGCGATCATGTGGCACTGGTAAACGATGGCTATATCTGCAAAATTCTTTCATGGATATTGCCAAAAACTACCGTAAAAAATTCACATAAAAAAGGAATTATGTAACAATAAAAAAAGACTTTTCTTTACTAGACATAACTATTTACAAAATCTTTTTCTGAAACGGTAATGAGAAAAAACACGTGGGAAAATACTTAAAAAATTTCCCACATTTATTCTCCACTACATAGGGATAGCACCATACCTGACTAACCCACTGTTGAAAGGTTAAAAAATTTTTTTCCTTGAATTCTCTAATTTTAAAATATTTCAACACTAGTAGGGAATTTTAAATCATTATATTTGTATGTAATGTTTTAAAATGTTAATTACAGAAACAGATCTTTTAAAAATAAAACTTTATTTTAAGAGAGTAAAAATATTTTCAATGTTTAATTTCATTGTTTAAATCCTTAAAATAGAGAATACTATAACATTAGAGCTTAAATTTAAATGAATATAGTTAATAAAACATTTTGCAATGGAAAATACAATTGAACCCTATTATACATTTCTCAGTTGTACATTTTTCGCAACCATTTTCTGCACAGTAGTTTCTCCATTATAAAAACTTTAGTTTTATGTTTTTCATTTATAAGATTTCATATATATATATATATATACATCTTGTTTTTTGGTGTTCTACTGCACTTTTTCTCACTTATATGTTACTCACTCTGAAATGGAAAAATTTAATTAATTAAAAAGTGAAAAATCAAATTATGTATTCACTTCAGGGTAGTCCACACTGACAGAAAACTGCTAGCAAATAAAAAATCAGAGTGTAACATGTGTATAGTGTTTGACAAATTTTCCTATTCAGAAAATTGCTCTGCCAGTCCAACATGATAAAAATTTTAACCTTCCATGTTTTGTAGTACGAACCAATTTTGCAAAGCAAATAAAAATCACTTTCTAGTTTCTCTATTTTTTATTATCATATTTGCTGTCAGTGTGAGCTAACCTTTAGAATAGGGGGTCCCCAAAGTGGTTGATAAGAGTTCTCCAGGGGTCAATTAATACACGAGGGTCGAAAGGGGGTCGATTAATACCAAAGAGGATCAATTAAACTGTCTAGGAAAAAAATAGAATATTCTAATAAAAATTCAAAAGACGGATATGATCAACATTACTGACTACCCTAGTTATAACTTGAGTTTTGCCTTAGCCTACGCCGCTTTAAGCATGTGTTACTCTGTTTTCACGCATCTGGCAACTGCACTAGTGTTGCAAACATGTTATGAACACTGGTAGTTCATTATACACAGACATACGTTGCACTGTTACACTCTAGTAGAGTTGTCACTTTAAGTATTTTATATCTAAATGTAGATATTTTGTCCTTTACAGAGAAAATATCGTAATATATTGAAAATCATTAATATAGTACAGAAGCGTTTGCAAGGAAAAACCGTTTAAATTGTTCAAGCTTGAATAATCATAATGGCTTTTCAAGAAAAAAATAGAGCTATTTAAATTTTCACTGGTACAATCCAATTTTAAATATTTTTCAAACTTGCGAGTACTAAAAGAAAATGAAAATATTTCCGACCGTGATTTGGAGATATATATTAAACATCTTGATAAATTAAGAGAAAATTTTAAAGCACGTTTCGAAGACTTGGAGAATATGAATGTTCCTGAATGGTTTGCTAATCCATTTGATGTAAAAATAGATAATGAAGGTAGTGAACTTGGCTTAGAAGATGAACTGATTGAAATATGTGTAGATCTCAAAGCTAAAGCGTTGTTTAAAAATAAAAACCTCAGTGAATTTTGAAGCAATAGTAATATTCCCACTAAATATCCCAAGCTCAGAGCAGAAGCCGAACCTTTCTTACTTGCATTCCCAACTTCATACATGGTTGAAGCTGGTTTTAGCCACACAAACGCAACTTTGACAAAACAGAGGAACAGATTAAACTCGGAAACCGTTAGGATTTGCGACTAAAACTTACCAATTTTCAACTGAATATCAATATCTTGCTGCTTCTCTTCAGACACATCCATTCCACTAATATCAACTATTTTAATAAAAAGGTAAGTTAATATATTTTTAAGGTATTCAGTAATAGTTGCAAAATGACAGTAAGGTTTTTTCATCCAATATAACTTATGTTTTCAAAAATAATTGCGTATTTTACTTATTATGACACATACGATTTAAGAACTATAAGCAAATTTCCATCTATCCATAATTTTGCTATTATTTTTTAAAATTATAAATCAGTGAAAATATCTCCTTTTTCTGTTAATGTTATTGGGTGGATTTTATAAGATATGAGAACTATAAATTCTTTTGATGGGTTATTATGCAGGTCTCCTTATTGCTTAACATCAGAAATGCAAAAATGATTTAATGCTTTTGTTAAATACTTAATCTGGGGGTTGATAAGAAGGCAAATATTCTATAAAGGGGTCGACAGGATAAAAACTTTGGGGACCCCTACTTTAGAATGACTCTTCATTCTTTCACCTGGAGATAACTGTTTTCATATTTCCTACCAGTATGTGACAAGTGCATAAAAGAAAAAGAAAGCAGAAACAAACAAAATTTCATCACTTTTTTAAATGTACTTGCCTTAATTTCATATTGTTTTACTTTTACTTTTGTATATTGTTCAAATGTATTATACATAAAACAAACTGAAACTTCATTACAAATTACACATACAAATTCAGTTGTAGAGTGTTAATTTGTGCTTTGCTATACTTTTGTGACAATTATAGTTTCACTCACACATTTTTCTGTTACCTTAAAAAACAGAGTTCAATTATATTTTAAAAAAATGTAAATAAGTTTTATTTACTTTTAGATTTTCTTTATTTTACTAATTTTGTTAATATTTTAAAACTGTACTAATTAAAGTTATTAACTGTTCACTCTTGATTATCATTACATTTATGATTATATTAACCTTAATTGGGCTGCATTTTAAAAAATTGTAGACTTATAAATTCCCATTGTCATCAGTCCATCCATCTGTCTTTCCTTAAGCTTGAGAACAGAGTTAGATAGATGAAAGACAAGACCAGATATGGAAACTTTAGGGGCAGGAGGTCCCAGTTAACTACATATGAACTTCCAATGCTAACTGGAAGACATGTTATTTCAATTCAAAAATTTCCTGCTGAAAGGTGTTAGATAGATGAGTGGCATGACTCTATTGTTAAAGAAAAAGTATAATGTACAGGGACAAGCCACTAATAATTTGAGATGGAGAGCATATATTTTAAATCAAATAAATTAAAAATATGATTAAAAATTGCAGTCTGGCAACTATGTCACAATAAATAATTGCCCATTAAACTTTTAAATTTCAATTTAGCTACATACATATAATTTAGCATATAAGTAGACAAAGCACCCACAACTACAATAAAAATGTAGTTGGATAAAATTTTGCAATGGCTAGATAATAAAGTGTAATATCAATATATTATGCATGTAGATATATCCAGTTATACTACACAAATAAGCCTTAAATACTCATTTTATTTACTCAATTAATTTAACCTAAAGAATTTTTAACTTCTAATTGCACAAAACAGAACTTAAAAAAATTGAAATAGACATTTTGTACAGCTGAGTCGGTATACAGTCCTCAGATCATTTTATACAGCTTTCAGTATACAAAACTGAAGCTATACCATCAGTATGATATAAAAAAACATACTTTGTCATATTTTTACTTAATTTTTATAAAAATAAACTGATTTATTGGTAGTGCTATAATTTTACCAAACCAAGTAGATCAACAGTAACCAATAGAAGCCAGTCTTGTTCCTTTGGTTTTTGGGAAATGGGATATAATTCTGATTGTAACAGACTATATCACAAAGCCACAAGAAAGATTCATTCAATTCATAAATGCATTAACATATATTTACATTGTAGTTATATATTATTTTAAACATTAAATTTTTACAAATAACTAAAAATTATTAACTTCAGTTCCAATAACTAATTTTTTAAAAAGATATATAAAGGATACTATATTCATGAAGAACCATTTGTACTAATTTTTCATCACAATGTGTTAAAGCACAGGTTGCATTAAATGAAATTCCACCAGTTTTCTTTTCCTACAACACAATATAATTTTATTTTAAACTAAAATATTCACAGAATATTCAACAAACATTCTATTAATTGCAAATTAATAATACTAGTACAGTAAAATTTGTCTATAATGGAACTTGAATAAAATGGAAACATGCTTAAACAGAGGGGGGAAAAATCCCTTCAAAACAAAGCAATTTTCTATGTTAAATTTTACTGTAAGCCATTTAACATGAAAATGGAAAGAACATAATTTAACATGAATGAAACAGAAAATTACAATTATACTTTTTGTGGACAAAAATAAAATTACATCCAGGTATAATGGCCATCAGAGAGCATGACAAACTGCAATCCGAGCATAAATTTGAATCTTTTCAGAGAAATGAAGATCACTTAACAAGAGACTTTCAGGTATAAGGTCTTTGTTAGAATTAATCAAAGGTATAATAAAATACTTTTAACAATTGAGAACGTCCAATATTCAAATGAGTTTTCAAGAACAAGCAAACAAATGTAATTTATTGAAAACAATGAGAATAAGGAATTAATTGCTTTGTTTGGATAGAGCAGTTAGTAAATAACTAGTATCAAGTATTCAAGAACAAGTTGATTAAAATTATTGATAATCATATTAAAGTTAACAATTAACTAAATTCCTCCAGAAATCAGATCACACAATGACTTTGTCTCTATTACTGTAATGCAGTTAGAATTTGACAACAAGACACCAGTTCTTGGTTCTCAAATTGCCTTGTTCACTATTGTATCTCATAAAAATCAAATTCAAGAACTCTTAGTAATCAAATATGTATCACATGTTATTGGAAATACATTTGAGAACTTTTTAGATTCAAGTAGTTCTTAATTCTTGCATTTGGATACTCCCATCTTTAGTTGAAATCATTGAATTTGGATTAAATTTAGTAATAAAATATTTGTTACTTATGTAATAAAAGTGATTTTACTGTAAAATTGAATATCAATCAATCAATCATAAAATCAAATCAAAAATAAAAATATATATGTATATATATGTCGTATTATTTTGCAGTCGTAGTCGTAAGGTCGAGTGTAGGTTGAACAAGACAAAGAAAATTGGAGACCATAAAATAACACGTCCGTTCACTTTCGGGTCCTCACTCGAACTCCCTTTATTTTATTGGTGCTGTTAACCTCATTCCAAAAGGAACGAGATTAATAAAGTAAAATACAGAAAATATATACAAAATTTACAAAAATTTTAAATATGTTATATATATATATACTTATACATGGCAGAACAGAAAAAATTTACTACCATGCAAATCCAGTTTTTTTTTTAAATTCTTTCTACCCTGTGGGCACTAAGAGGGCCATTTTAGCATGCCAATTATGAATTTAGCCAGGTCCACAATTGGGCAGCAGGTGATGAGGGATGAGGTCTAACATACTGGAGTAGACCATCCCCTTGAAAACTTCCTGGAGTTTTTTCACCTGTCCAGATTTGATCCTGAGTTCCCAGAACAATAATTCCTGCTATCTTAACCACTCAACCATCCAGCTAGTATACAATTCCAGTTTATACAAATTTTATTGGTATTACAATTTTATTACACAGGTTAATTTATCTAATGGTTATTAAAAGTTTATGATTATTATTTTAAAATATTTTAAATATTAAGGTTATTCAAAAATATAATGTTATGTTAAACATATTTATATTAAACATTATGTTGTTTAACATAAATATTCAAAATACACTCCTTGAAATATTCAAAGTACAAGATACCACTATGTTATTATTAGAAATTTAAATTATATATATAAATACTTATAACAAGAAAATGTATAAATCAACTCTTTAAATAAGAAGATAAAAATTTAATATAAATATATTTAAATACCTTAAAATAAATATTTGGTTTCTGCTTATTTAATCTAATACCAACACTTTCCAATTCCTTTTCTAAAAGAAGCCTGTAATTAAACAATATTTTATTTGAAAAAATTAATAAAAAATAAAATTATCAAGAAACATTAGTTTAATGTAACAAGCTATTTTTCTTTATTTTAGAATATCTTCAATAATCAATTTCATAAAGATTTCAGCAAATAAAAGTTTTAATGCACATTTTTACTGAAAATATGACATTGTAACTATACAAGAAACCCGACCATCAGAAAATTCCAGAAACGAGAAAACTCACATGGTATTCTTTTAAACAACTCTCTTCAAAAGAATATTGACACACACTTTGGCATTTGACATTTATGATTTTTGGATATTTTTCTTTATATAATTTATTATAATTTTTGATATTCTTCAAAACATAACTAAATAATGCTGTAAGTAATATATTTAAATATCTTTTTATATTTTTCTCTACTATTTGAATATTAACACAAAAATTTATATTATTTTTTATAACTTCAAAATTTAAATTTTTTGGCAAAAGATTCAATGTTTTACAATTAGGATTAATTCATTTTTATATATTTTAACAATAAAAAATACTACTAAATGCTTTATTTTTCTTCATTGTTTCATAATGGTGAGATTATTAGTTCATAAGATATAAGCAAAATAGTGCCTTCTACACAACTGTTGATGCATTAGCATCTGAATATTGTACATGATTTCATTTTTAAATTACAAAAACTTAAATCAAATTAGTTCTCAATTAGTTAAAAAATATTTTATTAGCAATACTTACATTATACAAATGCTAATTGTAGAAATTTTAAATGCAAATTACAATGAATACTTCATTCATTTTTTTCAGACTTTTTCTTTAAAATGCCAACAATTTCACCTTTTATACTGGATGAGTAGTATTTAACTTCTACGGTATTGTTATCACTTGTATGAGAGCTGTTTCTTTTTCAACGTCTGATGGTCCATAAAATAAAGACAAATGTAAATAACAAAATTAATTTATTACCAAAAGTTAGGTACAAACATGGTTACTTTTCAACATAATCACTGTGAAGATTGAGGCATTTGTCTATCTGTGGACGAGCTTTGAAATCTCCTCTTCATAGAATGTTGCTGCCAATGACTTGAGATGGGCCCTAACATAGTTTTGAAGATCATCATTAGTCTCAAACCTTGTCCTCCTAGTGACATTTTCAGTTCAGGTAAGAAGAGATAAAAATCACTCGACGCTAAATCAGGGCTATATGCTGGGTGTTTAAAGGTGATGGAGACGTCCATCCAGCTTGGAACTTTTAATGTATGAAGACTTTCATCTGAACTGAAAATGTGGCTAGGAGGGCAGAGGTTTGAGACTAATGATGATCTTCAAAACAATGTCATTAAGGCCATCTCAAGTCACTGGTGGCAACATTCTATGAAGAGAAGATTTCAAAGCTCGTCCACAGATAGACAAATGCTTCAATCTTTACGGTGATTATGTCAAAAAGTAACCATGTTTGTACCTAACTTTCGGTATAATTCATTTTGTTATTTACACTTGTCTTTGTTTTATAGACCATTAGAGGTTGAAAAAGAAACAGCCCTTGTAATTAGACAATGAAGTTCTCAATAGGAGGAAAAGATTTCGTTTTGTCACACAAAGGTTATACTTTACACTTAAATCATATTTCTACAAATAACATTTATGTAATGTAAATATTGTATTTAATGTACAATATTTAATTACATAACATAAAAACTTTTGCTAAATAAAAACTATATTAATAGTTAAATACTTCTCCAGAAGTTTCAAGCTAAATGCTAAATTTTTTTGTTTAAATTTACTTAAATATAATGTAACTACTGGATAACAAACTAAGAATAAAACACATAAATAAATATTAATAAAATAAATATTTTATTAATATTTATTTGCTGGATTTTTAAAGGTATGTTTTATTCTTTGTTTAAATTATAATTTTTTAATAAACAAAGCTCTTAATAACAATTTTAACATTTAAATTTTAATTATAAATTCAAAATAATAACAAAACCTTTGTATTTCTCCTTTAGTAGCATCTAGCATCATTAATACCAAATCAGCAGTTCTAGCTACAGCAATAACTTGTCTTCCTCTTCCCTTTCCTAAATAAATTTAAATTTATATCATTTGAAAACATTCAAAAACAAATATGATGTTTCAATTTAAAATAATTTCTATAATCTATAAAATCATCTATATTTTTGTAATTATTTACGAATTATTAATTATGTTTGTTATTGAGATGAATTTATAGTATGCAATAGATTTATGCAGTAGTTGTTCCTTATTCTCTGTCATGGAATCTAGAAAATTATTTCTAAGTTATAAATATATAAAAATTATATAAGTCAAAGTAAAATGTTGATTTGCTATTTTGGTTAGAATAATAAATATTTACTTCTTAAACACATTAAATATTTTAATATAAACAAACCTTACAATATTTTCTGCTAACCTCCTAGTATGGTTAAATTTTTTAAAATTTCAATTCTGTTTAATTTGTTTTTTGTCTTCAATGTCTAAAACCATGGGTACAAACTATTTTGATCAATGTTTTAAGAAAATCAATATATTATATTATAATGGAAAGATTTGAGCCAAAGAAGGGATAAAAATTGAAACAAGCATTTTTTTCTAAACACTGATAAACCCATTTTTTTATCTTAATCTTTATTAGTAAATCAAAATTAAATTTCACTTATGTCAGACCATATATAACATAAAACTGGAAGATGTGCTGTTATACAATGCCAACAGCAAACTCAGCACAGAATCATAGTAGTAAGAAAAACAATCTAGTCTAGAAGACAGATATTCTTTACAGAATGACCAACTTGTCCTCCTAAGATTGAATAAAACAAGTCATTTTAAATAAGAGAATAGACTTAGGATGAAAAATGTATTTATAAAGGACCATCAGACACTACTCAATCACTTTAATTTAAATCATTAGAAGATATGTGATTAATTCTAATTGTTCATTAACCACTCAACAGTGGTTAATGAACAATTAACCACTGTTGATCACGGGATCTGTTAAATTCACATATATCTGTTAAATTCTTTTGGGGGGTATCGCCAAAAACTAGCCAGAACTACCGCAAAAAAATTCACATAAAAAATGAATTATGTAACAATAAAAAAAGTCTTTTCTTTACTAGACATAACTGTTTACAAAATCTTTTTCTGAAACGGTAATGAGAAAAAACACATGGAAAAATACTTTAAAAATTTCCCACATTTATTCTCCACTACATAGGGATAGCACCATACCTGATTATCCCACTGCTGAAAGGTTAAAATTTTGTCATATTAATTATAATAGAAAACTTTTTGACAAAGCAAAAGATTTTCAAATTACAATTCTTTATAAAAATGAAACAAGAATGCTAAATATTTTATATTCTATTCTTTTACATAACTTATAAAAAATGGAGCAAACTTAAATAATGTAAATAATAATAAAAATCTTTAAAAATTACCTTGTGAAGCACCTTCAATAATTCCTGGCAAATCAAGAAGTTGAATATTTGCCCCTTCATACTGTAACAAATATTTATGGTTTTATGTGAAAAATTCAATAATTTTCAAATGAAAATAGAAATTTTTATAAACTGTTAAACTTTTTATATTTTCAATAACAATATAAAATGTATAATAAATAATTTAAATTCTAAAAGCAAATAAAATTAATTATATTACCTGAATTACTCCAGGTATACAGGTCAAAGTAGTAAATTCATATGAAGCTGATTCACTGTGTGTATCAGTTAAAATATTCAATAGAGTGGACTGAAAATCAAATATAAATTTCTTTGTATTAAAAAGGGCTAAATCCAAAATTGTAAAATTTTTATGATTAAAGTCTACCAATGAGAAAGCATTTACTTTTATATACATAGAGAAGATATGTTCATAGATAAAATTTAAGTCTAAAAATTAGGACTAGATGATCAATCTTGATCTAATTTGAAACTATAAGTTTAGAAATGCAATGGTAAAATTAAAGGAATATTGTTCCTTAAGTAAAAGTAAAATTTTAAAAAGTTGACAGCCAGTAATAAAATGGTTTCATGATTGCACAATTATAGGTGTACAATCAAAGTGATAGTTTTGTTTTTAGTGTTAAATTTTAATTGTAAATAACTTCTTTTAAACTCTTCTCTTTTGACTGATAAATAAAAGTGTGCATTTTAATTTTATTTTTTTAACCAGAATACAGTAGAAAAATATTGAGGCCAAGTGCCAAAAAGCACAGGATGGCTTAAATACATTAAATATTTTTCCTAAATGTTCAGTGCTAAAATGGGAGTGTCTTTTATGCCATAAAATACAAAATACAATAAATGAAGCTGAAGATGTTCTATGATTGGAAGAAAAATGTTTCTCATAGAGAATTTGTTAATTCCCTGAAGTAAGCATTTTGAATATTCTTANTACCTGAATTACTCCAGGTATACAGGTCAAAGTAGTAAATTCATATGAAGCTGATTCACTGTGTGTATCAGTTAAAATATTCAATAGAGTGGACTGAAAATCAAATATAAATTTCTTTGTATTAAAAAGGGCTAAATCCAAAATTGTAAAATTTTTATGATTAAAGTCTACCAATGAGAAAGCATTTACTTTTATATACATAGAGAAGATATGTTCATAGATAAAATTTAAGTCTAAAAATTAGGACTAGATGATCAATCTTGATCTAATTTGAAACTATAAGTTTAGAAATGCAATGGTAAAGTTAAAGGAATATTGTTCCTTAAGTAAAAGTAAAATTTTAAAAAGTTGACAGCCAGTAATAAAATGGTTTCATGATTGCACAATTATAGGTGTACAATCAAAGTGATAGTTTTGTTTTTAGTGTTAAATTTTAATTGTAAATAACTTCTTTTAAACTCTTCTCTTTTGACTGATAAATAAAAGTGTGCATTTTAATTTTATTTTTTTAACCAGAATACAGTAGAAAAATATTGAGGCCAAGTGCCAAAAAGCACAGGATGGCTTAAATACATTAAATATTTTTCCTAAATGTTCAGTGCTAAAATGGGAGTGTCTTTTATGCCATAAAATACAAAATACAATAAATGAAGCTGAAGATGTTCTATGATTGGAAGAAAAATGTTTCTCATAGAGAATTTGTTAATTCCCTGAAGTAAGCATTTTGAATATTCTTAATATCATGGTACCAGAAGATTCACAAAAAATTATTAATAGTTTACAAAATCTTTTTAGGATATCCTGTGTAAAGATTAAAAACTGCAAAGAACTTGATATTCTAAAAAAACATTTCAATTTAAAACTAATTTAAAGATTGTATAACAATTAACTGTTATATAATATAAATAAATATATTACTTTTCCAACAGATGGAAATCCAATCAATGCTACTCTTGCATCTCCAGATTTCATTACATCAAAACCTTCTCCCTATAAATAATTCAAATAGTTACTATTTCATAAAACTTGTANCAGAAGTTAATTTAGTATCAAAAATGTAAAATATTTGAGTAGCCCAAGACATAGCCAAAGATTGCAGCGCCACAGCACTGGCAAAAATTTAAATTTGCCGACTGGAATTCTTTCAGATGATTGACGTTTCGGATGATTGGCTTTCGGATAATCGACGCTCTACTGTACAACAAAACAATGTTTACAGAAAACATAGGAAAGTGTAAACTGAATAGTGAGGAACTCTATACTACTTTAAGAGAAACTGAAGCTACAGTAAATTCATAACCATTATCATGTCATTATAAACAGGAAAAACCATTGACATCATGCCAACTTCTCATTGGCCAAAAACACACTGAGATAGCTGAATAGAAACAACAAGAGGAAAAAGAAGAACCAATGATAAAAATGTGGCAAAGAAGAAAAAGTCATTGAGCATTTCAAAATAAGATGGGGAAAAAAAAATATTTATTGGGCTGCAATTTGAAAAAGTTGTAGAACTATAAAGTCCAACTGTCATCTATTCATTTGTCTTTTCTTAATCTCGAAAATGGTGTTAGATACATGAAAGTCAAGGCCAAATATAGAAAGCTTAAGGGCAGGGGCTCCTGACTAACTATATATGAACTTCCAATGCAAAATGAAGTCACGTTATTTCAATTAAAAATTTTCCCCTGAAAGAAGTTAGATAATGATCAGCAAGACTTTGCTGCTAACAGGAAAAGTATGATGTACAGAGGCAAATCAATCTCAGACGAATTATGAAAACTTCATATGACTATCTTCCAAACTATCCATATATTTATAACTTTTCTAAATTGTCTTTTATTTGTCATGTTTGTCTTTGAATATGAATATGATCATGCATATTAAAACAAATGTAAATCAACAATACTTAACATTTACTTTTAACCTATCCCATGTTGAAATTTTTCTCCAATGCGTGTTGCTTCACATTAAATTTTTGTCGATGTTAACGCCCAACGTTTTAGAAAAAAATAATCATGGCTATTGTACCATCCAAAATTATTTTTTTATTTTTCACAAACAAAATAGACATATTGAAAAATATAAAAACAAAAAAATTATATTTTGATAGTTTTAATATACATATTTACTCGAATATACATAATATACTCGAATTTCACATATAGGATAAGGTGTGATTTTAAAGATCAAAATAAAGAAAATTAGATTTATTAACACAAGTCTAATTTTATTTTGTTTAATAATAAATAAAATATCAAATGCATGTAAATGCACACATTGTCCTGCAAAAATTACTGACATTTTAAACTTCAATGAAAAATCTTGTAAAATTGACATTTGTTCATGTAAAGCCGAACAATCGGGAACCTTTTTTGCCAATTCTTAACAGTCGAATTCACTCTTTGTTGATTACACTTATGAGTTTCTTTGAATTTCCAAATAATCATCTGTTTTCACATGGGAATGAATTAAAACTTATATCGGGCTCCCATGTAATTTTGGAATTCAATTCAAAAGCTTTGCTTTTCCTATTGCTATTCATCTTTACTCCTGGAAATACACATGAACAATTCAAACGACCCAGATAAAATACTTTTGTTTTTAAACACCAGAAGATAAAAATCTAGTAAAATATGCATATACAGTCGACCCCCCTATAATTACGGTCCCTATAGTTACGATTCCTATAAAACTACGAAAAAATTGCTACCGGTATCTGTAATAAATAGTAAAAGTTCCCTATAAACACCTCAAACGTCATCGGGAAGCCGAACTACTTTCCCGCCGTCCGTAGCGCCACGCTACGGAGAGATTTCTATCGTCTGGACAGTATTATATAAATTATATATAAATTAGGTACTGTACATATAATTATATATTAATTATATATAAATTAGGTACTGTATATATAATTATATATTAACTTATTGTAACTTTGTTATAATTAAATATATAATTTCCGCCGTCTAGCGTGGCGCCACGCTACGGAGATTTTTACGCTAACTATCGTCTGTCAGTATGTAAATTAGGTACCGTAAGTCTAATACAGTACTGTAATTTTATACATTTCTTGTGAAAGAAACATTTCTTATTCAACGGCGATTAAAATTATTTATATTAATGATGTCTCCGAAGTTCTACGAAGTTTTCACAGAAAAATAAGTTGTTAGAAATCGGCCGCTCTTTGCTGAGCTGTTCCGCGACGAAAACAATGTTGAGCAATGGCAATGTCGAATGGTGACACTCGGTAAGTAATCCTACAATTTTTTGTTTATAGCGTAGTTTATACGGATTATTCCCAAAAAATATATACGTATTTTGGAAATGTTGAGTCGGATTAGTCTAGAATCGATTAATTTTATGGAAGAAAATCTTTCAAACAGCCGTAGTCCGTAAACTTGATACGTGTCGGGTTGTGATTGGAAGGATTCGTAAGAAAGCAGATTCCTAGAGAATGGAACGTATCTCTATCTTATAGGGGGGGGTCGACCGTACAGAGTTTACAAAAATTATACAAAAATGAAAAGAATCCTTTGCTCATGTATATAGGACAACCTAGGTTTTAAAGCAGTGAAAAATGGATAAAAACCTCATCTTATATGTGAGTAAATAGGGTAAAAATTATGATGACTAGTGACATCTAGTGTCAAAAACATTCCTATGCAGAAATGCTATATCTCGAATCCACTGGTCAAAGTCATTATGTTTCAATCCAAGATATTTCAGGAATACGAAGGGACAGGTTAACATAGTAATGCACAAAGAAAATATCACAAATCAGCAACAATAATGTGTTAAATTTCACAACTGTTATAATTAAATCATACATTACATAATCACAGCTATTAAAAATACATAAAAAGTTTCTGTTCAACCTAATATAACTTTTACTTATTAATCATGACATCAGAAGGCATCATTGTACTGATTATAATGGCTTTAAATCTCAAAACATATCTTTATAAAGCCCACAAGGCTAAATCTAAATACTGTTTTACACAAATAGGATTTAAAGGAAATTGAAAATTGCAGCCTGGCATTATGATGATGCCATAATAAATAATCACTCATTAAATATGAGAAGTTTTCACAAAGTGCAACAACAGAGACAGGATGCTAGATCCAGCTGGAAAACATTGCATTAATGGTAAAAGAGATCAAACCTAGATAACAATAAAAAAATGAGAAAAATCACAGAGGTTAAAAAAGGGCAAGATAATAAAACTCCACACTTGTGTATTTCAATATCGAGATGTGCAATGGATAGAGCATCAGAAGATCAATACTGCTCTTGTGTCCATTGGAAGTGTACAAAACCTGAGAGATTCTTGGGATGGGAAGCATGTAGGGAAATGTTTGTTCTTTTAATACTTTTGTTAAGGAAAAGAGTTACCTGTCAGAGAAAAGCAAGAAATAAATAAAATGAGAAAAAAAATAAGGTGCAGATCTTTGTCTTAAAACACACACACACACTTTATACTCAACTGTATCCAGAACAATATACCTATTGATATATAGAAAATTTTAATATGGCTATCATAACCATAAACCATAGATTTTAATGTGGCTATCACTAATCTACAGAATAAATTTAACCATCCAAAATCAGCCAGTAAATTTAAACTTGCAGTTTATGCCAAAGATTTACACTCATGCAATACATCAAAGGTAATTCTGTAGATTAAAGACATTTAACCTTGAAATTAAATTCTTGCAAATGGCCTTTAGTAATAAATGCTTTGTCATTTTATGTACTTTGACATACTTAAATGTATAGTAATAATTAATAATGTCATTTTGTAGCAAATTTTATTTTTTTATATGATTACATACAACATATGAATGATTAGTTTTATAATTTCTAGTATCAAATTATACAAATATTTTTTACATTAAAAATAATGTGAAATTTTATACACTAATTTTATACACAATACAAACAGAAATTTTATTTATTTTGTTAATTGTATGATATTATTTTATTTTAATTTTTAATTTGTATTGATAAATTTATTCCTGTAAATTTTATAAAATATAGAATTACAAATTATCGTCTTAATTTCATTAATAAGATGTATTTCAAATAGGATCTTATCACAATATCAATAAATTATTACTGGAAGATTAGCATGTTATTTGACCTTGGTGCAGAAAAGCTTTGTAATAAAACAAGTTAATAATTTATTTATAATTTAAAATGATCATTTGGCATGTTATCTAGCTACAAAAAAAAAATACATTTATTATTTTTATTAACATTCTTAACAGCATCATTTTGTAAATTTATGGTTTTGAATTATTGATATCTTCAAAAACATTGATAAATGTTTCTAATTAAATTATTTTGAGTCACAACACGGTTTCAAATTATAAAAAAATTATTTTGATACATTTAATCACTCATCATTTAATTTAATTAAATACTAATTAATTTAGTTTTTTTTTTTGCTTTATGTGAATTATATGGCTGAAGTTGATATGCTGTTATCTCTACGAATGCAAAAATATTTAAAAATACGAATAAATTTTTCATATCTCATAAAAAAAAAAAACATTATTACAAATATCACAAAATTCCCTATGTAGGAAAGTGAAATTAAACAATAATGATAAATTACATTTTAAAAAAAATAGCAACAAGTTGCATAATTTTTCTAGCTGTTAAGAGATTTGATTAAAAAGTAACTTTTGTATTATTATGACTAAGACAAAACTTAGTTTCTAACCATTTAAACACTGAGTACAAATGTATTATTAAACGTATTTTGTATTATTAATTATAATGTATAAAATTACATTTGGTACCATTTGTTATGAGATTTTATTACAAAAACATTTTATACTTTTAATTATTATAAAATGGCAAAAAGCTTAATTTTAATGATGAGTTTTTATTAAAAAAATTGTAAATGATAATCTATATCATAAATATATATAATAAAAATGAATGTATATCTGTGTCTGTCAGTCTGTCCTTCATGCATTACCACACTGTTTATCCGATTGCCATGAAACTTTGGGAAGTTTTTTAATACACTCCCGTGAAGGTTTCTGGCATAGTACATTTATCCTACAATAGATGGCATGAGTGTATATGAGCATTTCACTGTGTGTTCGATCAATTTCAAATTGTGAAGACCATTTCCCCCCTCCAAAAAATATCTCTATATATGCATTTGTGAACTGTTATTTACGGGTATTTACCCGATATTTGTAATAATTTTTGTTTAATCACTTTATTTCAATTTTTTTTGCTAATTACGTATTCGCTCGAACTTTGTTAAAACCTTAACTGTATCCTGAACAACAACCGAAGTTGTAGGAGAAAATTCACCTATTTTACCAATCTAGGGATCCCCCTTTTCCAAATTTTAATATCAACTCAAAATAATTTAAAAAGACAAATTACAATAATACAGTTTATTATCCAACTATCAGAAATTTCACAACATGCCAAGGAAGAGAGGAAGGAGCAATTATATAATTAAAATTATAAAGGATTAAAAAATATATATATATAAAAATGGGGAATATCGCACTTCTGACAATCGCTGCAAGTGTGTGGGCTAAATTTGGAGAATCCATGCTTCTCACATGGACAACTGTATGTGGCCAGCTAATGCATCGGAAAACCTTCTGATTTATTCGTGTGCTCACCAGACGGAAAAACAAAAAATATCGTGTATCCACAAGCACTCCAATAAATAAATAGAATTGAAACGACACTTTGAAATGTTTTCCCGATGAAAATGAATAATAATAATAATATAATAATAATAAGTTCCAATAAAAATGATAAAATGTAAATTGAATTTTATCATAACGAGTTTGCTTGAATTTCGTTTCTTCTGAGATTGCAGCAATGTGGGATGGGTAAGCTAGTAACAAATAAACTCTTCATTAGGTCTAATTCCACTCATGATATAATACATGACCTCCTCTATCTCCACCACCCCTTGATCTTTAAACATCAAAATTTAATGCCCTTTATACATAAGCTACTATAAAATGGTTTATAATTATACTCACAATTCCTCAGACTCAGACAGAGGTTTTGAACTGTACTTCCACTCCAGGTGGAAGTACAGTTCAAAACCTCTTAGAGAACCTCCTTAAATAAATCTCCAGTAAATTATCACCTTTAGAATAACTAACATTTTTCAATCCTCTGTCTGGATTTTCATCAGGTCAACTGTTCTAGAATCAAAATGCTTCAAACATCGTTGCAGATTTCGGATAATTTTTCAAAAAATGGAATTTGTGATGATGTTTGAAGCATTCAGATTCTAGAACAGTTGACCTGATGAAAATCCAGACAGAGGATTGAAAACATTAATTTTTCTAAAGGTGATAATTTACTGGAAATTTATTTAAGAAGGTTTTCTGAGATTTTAGAATAAAACAGACATTCACTGAATTTTGTCCCCTTGTCTGATTTTGTTCAACTTGTCTAATTCCCTTCCTCCTTTTCAGTGAGGACATCATTTATGGACATTTCCTTATGTCTGATTCAGGCCAAAGTTTATACTAACCTTTCTGCAGTGTTTTTATAGAAAGACTATCCCAGGCATCTCTAACATTAAATATATATTAACATCAATGTTAATTGTGTATGTTTCCAAAACTCTTTCATTCTCATTCCCCCATTTAATGAAACAAGTTTCTGCATACTGGGTTTTTGATCATGGGGTCAACAAGTGGAATGAGTGGGGTGGTTTTTTGCTAGAAAAACTTATATGTTATTTTGCCACCATCATTCTTTAAACCATAGAAGTGGGTAGGTCAAAGCATTCTCCATCAACAGCATTGCTTCTTGAGGTAAGTTTTTTTATTCCAGCTGTAATTTAACATTTTGCACTAACACTTCATAGAACAATCTTAAAATATATCCTAGCTTGGCCAAGTGTTTTCTGTGTGTAATAACTGACAGGCAAAGGACACCAAGAATTTTTAAAAGACAAAGACTTTTCATATTTTCATATAACAAGCAAAAATGTAACTTATGTTTACTATTGGCATTAGAACACAGCATTGCAGTGATTTGATCTGCATTTTAAAACTTGATATTGATTTTTCCAACAATGAAGCCAATGATTTTTGGGAAAGTGATTTCCAATTAATGCCAGTTTCATCACAGTTGTAGACTTGGTCTCTGACTAAATGTTGTTCAGCTATTTCTTTCTTGAATTTTTCTGTATTCAAGACTCACTAAATTATCTGCACTCAGTTTCTCACACGTGATGTCCAACTGTCAAATATCATAATGACACTTAAATTTAATCTAAAAGACTAAGTTTTTATTTATATCAACAGTTTTTGCCTGTATTATTTATGGTCCCAAAAATAAAATGTCTTGGCTGCAGTCTTGCACAAACCATTGGTACATTACAGCATCCAACTGAATCACTTTTTGTAGGTTTCATGATGATGTGAAAGCTCTCAAAACTATCAGTGGTTTGCAATTTTGTAATGAGGCTTTCAATTTTGATGCATTACATTTGATATCCTTGACTGCCATTCACCCAATATCAAATTCATGAAATATTTGTAGTAATTTTGCCTTTCCTTAGATATTCAATAATTTTAACTTTTGAGATAATCTCAACAATTACACATTTGTACTAATCAGCCCTTTTTGCATTTCTTCAAACTATGAAAACAGCTAATGACAACTGAGATCAGTGACTGCACAGGATCTGTTTCATCATTGGGAGGAATAGGGAAAAATGAGTAGCATGGAAATAAAGGGAAAAAGACTGTGCATTGGTTCTTGCCCATACAACAATGTGCAATCTATGCCAGTGCACTGTATTTAGCACTCTGACAGTTAAAAGTGATGAGTAGTAGAGTTTTTACTGTAGTTTGATAATAAAGTTAATATATACTTTATAAACTAAATATGCACAATATATTTTAGTCAATTCTTTTTACATTAACAAGCTTATTAAGAATAATTTAATTAAATGATTCATATAAAATTTAAGAGTATCTAATCAATAGAAATTAAACTTACTTTCTCTTTTTTTCCTTGTGGTTCCATTAGCTGAGCACGATATTTAGCTAATTTTGCTTTTAAAACTCCTAAATGATATTCAGTTGCTACAAAAAGTACAGTTTTAATATATTTTTGTTTTGATACATTACACGAATTTTAATATTAACTGGTTCATATAACTATACAACTATTTTTACCTTTATTTTTTTGAGTCCTGGAGATTTCTCTCTCAATTTCGTTTATTTTCTCTAAAATGCCCATTGTGATCGCTCTTTTTAATAATCAGAACAGAATTATGTAGACTTACACGCTCCTGCCCGGCACGCTTTACACTTCAGTACCACATAATCACGAACAGTGTTGCCAGAACTTAATACGTATTTTTATAATTTATTGCCAACTAGCTTCATTACTCGAAAAATAACTTTTACCCCCCCAGTACAAATAAAGAAGCAATTCAATTTATATAATTATTGAAAAAAATAAATATAGATATTTTTAAAATATTCATTAAAAATATTATACATGCGTTAAGCCATAATTTGTAATTTTAACCAGAGCGCTTTGACCGGCCGAGCGGTCAAGGTGGCAGCCTACCGCTCTGGGGGACCCGGAATTAAATCCGGACGGGTCGATAAATCCCCAAGAATTTTTCGGGGGGTGGACCGTCTGGATATGTCGGGTCCCGTCCCTCACTACTCGGTAGCCCCATTGTGGGCCTGGCCGAACCCATAATGGGCTTGCTAAAAAAGGTCTTCCTGGTGCTCACAGGCCGGAACAAGTTTTACAAAAGTTAATTCAAACAAATACAGCTGAGATATAAAAAAGTTGCGCAAAGTAAAAACTTATAACAATTTAGAAGACAATCAAAATTTTTTCTTAGAAGTTTCTCTATACCAGTCTATAGTAAAGATAAACTTGATGTTTGAAAGCGAAATGTAGATAATAATAATACAAGTAATAAATAATCTTGTCCAAGCGTCAAGTTTATCTTTACCATAGAGAAACTTCTAAGAAAAAAATTTGACTGTTTTCTAAATTGTCGTAATTTTTTACTTGGTGGAATATTTACATCTGAGATGTTTTTGTTTGGATATCAATTGTTTTTGGTCAATGATTGTGATATTACATCAAAATCTAAGGCTGTGTACACACTAGGCGTTTTTAAACGCGCATTTTAAAGAACCAAGAGTTCTATATAGGCGTACACACTCAAACGCGCGCTTTTGGCCAAGCACGCGTTAAACGCGCGTTTATAGATTTTTGTTAAAACGCGCGTTTTGCGGGCGCTTTACGGGCGCTTTGAGATATATGTGCTGCCATGTTACCGTACATGCGATCGCGCGTTTTGCGGGCGTCAGCCGAGCGCTTTGAGATATATGTGCTGAAATGGAGAACGATCATTTCGATACTGATCTATTTATTGATGAAATCTAAAAGAGACCAACCATCGTCAAAGGATTTTATAGATATTTTAAAAGAATTAAAAAACTTGGGTTCATTTTGTCTTAGTTTTGGATACAACGTCGCAAACATTCCATGTGTCAGTCTATCTCGTAATATTGGGTGCACCCAAAATTCTCTTTGCCTCTGCCATTGTCTTTTATAGCGACGATGGAGGAGGGGCACACAAGCAATTTCACGTCCATTTCCAAACTGAGCCAGTGCGTACGCTCCAAAAACGCTCGTCGAACGCCGAGCTAACGCGCGTTTAAAAACGCCTAGTGTGTACACAGCCTAAGACGATGACGTACAGTTAGTGTTACCACCAGTCCGATTTTCACCCGGACAGTCCGGGAATTGACTCACTGTCCGGGTGAACTAGTAATTTTGTCCGGGAATTTCGTAGAAATAGTGAATTACGATGAAACAAAGTTCTTGCAAATATTTTTACAAATTTACACTATTTTAACAGCGAAAGAATTCACACTCACTGAAACTCATCTGCAATTCTGCCATGTTGGTTGTTCAAGCCGACGCACAGTGGGTCGTGAGACGATTCTAGCAGTACTTAAGTACTGTATATAGAGGCTGGTGCAATTCATTTTTATAATAAAAATTTTTTACTTAGATATCGTAGCAACTAAAAATTTACATATCGCAGTCACATTCGGAGTTTGACTTCGATTTTTCTTGTGCTATTGTCACGCTCGGTGCTTTTAGCAATTTTAAAACGTTAGCGGTTAACGGAGTTTTTTTTATACCAAATAATCTAAGGTTTGTAATGAGAGGATCCGAAGAAATTAAAAGTTTATGTAAAATATCTATATTAGTGTTTATTCTATAAGTTTCTCGGGAATAACTCTCACGAAATTTTTAAAATTCTTTGTGTCTAGCTTCTTGCACTTCTTCGGACAATTGTCCTATTGAACGAATAATGAATTTTTGATCCGCCTATTAAAATTTTGTGAAAAGTGACTGGCATGGGATACCAAAGATAAAGCGTCACGTATAACTCCACTGTTTCCTTCGTGTAGATTTCGAATTTGCTTGTGTCGATTTCGTAGCCGGATGTCAATGCTTGTAATATTACCGAAAGTCGTTCTATTAGGTTCTTGTTAACGCCAGTTGTCTCTGCAGTAAGAGTGGTATTCGAAGAAAATCTTGCCAAATTACCATCGTTGGTGTTTTTACCACATTGCTTGGGAGTATCAGAAGTAAACCAGTTTCGGTTCTAAATCTATCAATAATATTTTTCTTTTTTTTTCTTTCTTGTTGATGTTACCGCTAAAGCTCGGAAACTCGTTAATCTGCAGATTAACTAGCGTGATCCGTTAAAGTTGCTAAAATTGTTCTACTACCGAGTGCCTAGTAGGTAATTTGCAAATTACCTAAGTAATGTGCAGATTATCTAGGTAATTTGCAAATTACCTACTAGGCACTCAGTAAAATGAAAATAAGATCTTTGCTGAAACAACAGCAACGTTTCTGTAGGCTTAAATTAACATATTGTTCTTTATTTAATTTTCGATATCTAAAGAATCAAGTTAATACAATCAAACAATCGACAAATTAGTTGATAGAATCAATCATCAACCAATTAAAAAACATACAAAAAATCAAACGATTTAAAATATTAATACAATTAGGGAAATTATTATATAGATAACCACCTATGGAATTTCGGGACTTTGAGTATCTATCTGAACTGAGGGGACCGAGACGACTTCAACGATACCCTACTTTTGGACCGGAGACGAAAAATAATAAAGTTATCATACTTTTTCTGGTGATCGCATGATATAATTGTGCAGTTAATGTTACCTATGGTGAGTAAAATGGCGGCTCGTCTCTGATTCCAGCAAAGAGAAGAAAGGAAACAGTGGGGACGCACGTTCTGTCCTAACCTAACCTATTCTAATAAATTACCATAATTATTACCAACCAAATTATTAGAATAGGTTAGGTTAGGTTTGAACGTGCGTCCCCACTGTTTCCTTTCTTCTCTTTGCTGGAATCAGAGACGAGCCGCCATTTTACTCACCATAGGTAACATTATCCAATTGTGCTTACTTATTAGTGCAGTCTAAAGATTGGTGACACTTTGAATTTCATAGCAATTGGTTTTTGCGACAAGCACACCTATTTGTGGTACATTTATTGTAACAAAGATCTTATTTTTCACTTTACCGAGTGCCCAGTAGGCAATGTGCGGATTACCTAGATACTCTGCACATTATCTAGGTAATTTGAGAAATAGAACAATTTTCACAACTTTAACGGATCACCCTAGTTAATCTGCAGATTAACGAGTTTCGAGCTTTAGCGGTAACATTGATACTGACTCTTTCTCTTCGGTCTGGCGCACATGCCATTTTTTAATATTCATTCGATATGCTATGCGAAGAATGGATTCTATGAATCATATGTGACAATGTTGAGTCGATAGACAAAATGAAAAAGTTTCTTCATTACATTGCCTCATTTTAATATTAAATAGATCGTTCATTTCTCTTTTAGGACGTCCTATTATCTGTTTTTGTGGTGTTTCACAGCTTGCACTAGTTTGTGGCAAATCGACATTTTCGATAATTACCATAAACGATTTTTTGTTGAAAAATGTTTGCTATTTCGATTACGTTTCTTCCATCTTTGATTTAGACCAGTGTTTTTCAATCTTCTTGAATACGCGACTCCTTTACAAGTTAAAATAATTCTGGAGACCCCCAAACGGCCATATTAAAACTATGTCAGTGATTTTAAAAACTACCGGTACTTATTTTTCTTTCTGTTGAGATTTAAATATCGATCAAAAAACTAATTGTACTGTGAAATAAACAGGTACAGCCTTCTCACTGAAATTGTAGTTTTTTTTATTTTACATTCGATATGAATAAATAAATAAGAGAAAAAGTATAATAAAGTGAGAAAAAGTTAAATTAGTTAGAATCAAAACATATTATTTGATTAATTATTAGAAAAAAAAAGAAGAATCAGGTGATGTGTATATGTATAATGCAGCTGTTATCTTCTCTATCTTACACGATGACTAATATCATTTGAGCTTAATAATAATTCAAATTGCGTAAGTTTTTTTCAAACGTATATTAGTTATTTATCACTTATAAATATGATAAAGTTTCTTCTTCGTGATTAATGAGCTTTAATACGAGTATTATAATAAACTTTATAATAAAAAATATTAAAAAAAAAGTAGAAGTGGCCGGCAAGGTAGTCTCACACTAACTTTCGGTTGTCGATATTTGACCTCTGAATATGTTTTATTGCCCTTTCGTGATTGGAACTCGTAAACAGGTGTTAGATTACCTTTAACTTTAGAAAGAGCAAAGTACAAGGACGAATAGAGTTCGATTATTCTCTGATTTTATCAAATTATAATTCAAATATATAATATTTAATTATGTATTTTAATTGTTTTAAATTTATGTATGTGCATATTTTATACGGTCCAATTGTCGGTGTAACGAGAGAAGAATGTCTTAACTGTTTTTTTTTTATTATTTTTCCTCCCTTTCCTCTCTCTCTCTAATAGAATTTTAAATATAATGGTGATAAACGAGATTCTTGGAATTTTTTTTAAGTGCCGATAAGAAAACAGTTCTAAAATATTCACTGATCAAAAAAACAACGGTCATACGTATTTAATTATAATCTTAAATTCCTTTGTTGACGAAGAGAATTTAATCATGCAGCACGTTATATATATATATACAAATGATATATTAAAAGATCGAATTAATTTTAAGATTTGTATTACGTGATCGATGCTTGTTTAATCGTTGTAGAAAACAAATCACTCACGTCACGAATGAAAAATTTTATTTCATTGCCTATCAAGTAATTGTTGCATCACGTTTTATTTAAATCCTCTTCCAACTTTTTTTTTTTTAATCTATTGTTTTAAGTTACCGTTAAAGAATTAAAGACAATTTATTTTAATGGCATCGTTTCTTTTATTGTTTTCCAAAACGATTCGTCTTTCTAGCTTGAATCTATTAATTTATTACAATCTAATCAATAGGAAAAGTTACTTTTTTTTTTTTTTCTTTTCTTTCCTAAAATTTGTATCCTGGATGATGATGATGATGATGCTACTCCTTCTTATCATTATTCGTTGTTTTGATCGGCTTTCTAGGAAGCTTAACTTGATCAATTTTTATAAGAGATAAAGATAATACCAGCTGCTAATAGGACTAGCGGTAGGATTTCGATTGTTTCTTCTTTTACAGATCCTCCTTCCAATAGATTTTGTTTATATCCACCGAAATATAGTAATCAACTAAGTAAACGTCGTTAAATATATCACCTAGTACTACGTTTTTATGTAATTCGCAAATATATATATAACGGTATTTGCTTTAAAACTTAATTTAGAACTATAATTTTAAAATATTAGATTTTATCATAAACAAAATAAGTAGGAAAATCTCTGTAGAATTAATAACAAAGCACCGTATGAAGGACATTTGTAAACACTTCTTAAAAATCAACTGTCGTAGCATGAATATTTATTTATTTCCTTCTTTTTTTTTCTTCTAGAAATTCACGAATAAAAAAAAATCTACAAAGTCGTTCTCTTCAGTAGATACAATATCTCATTTAAAATTCTAAGCTAGGAAGATTGTCTTTATTTTATTTACAGTCGAACCCCCTTACAACACTGTTGATTATTCCGTTTTATATGAATTCCATATTGTACGAGTCACTTAGATTTTACAAATACGTGTACCGGGCTTTGAACGGCTCACGTATTTGTAAAATCTAAGTGACTCGTTCAACATGGAATTCATATAAAACTGAATAATCAACAGTGTTATAGGGGGGGTCGACTTGTATTTATACTCCAAATGAAAGTACTAATAAACAATATATTTTATAAGAATTTCACAATAGTGATATACGAGTATATAAATAATATAAACAAACGTATACATCAAAATTGTGAAATTTATATAGGTCATATCTTTCGAAACGAATTTCGTGATAAACAAAAAATAATATATATATATATTATTTACTTAAATCTATTAACAGAATTAATGTTATTATTATTAATATCCTGACAACTACAGGTGCACTTGAGTGTATATTTATGTCTAACATTTTTCAATGTTTTTTCTATTATTCTTGACCATTCGTAAAATGTAATTGACTGTAGTTTGATATAATTTAAAGCTTATTAACATAAATATATAATAGATATATTGTTTGGTATAAATTTGAAACTTGTCTATCTCGATTTTCAAGAATGGAGAGGGGGGTATTTTTTCCTTTTTTTTTTTGTANTTTTTTGTTAAATACAGCATTAAAAGTTGATTTTTTAAATATATTATAGTGATGGATAAAAAAATTATAAATTAAATATGCGTGGACAGATTCAAATTAAAAAAAGTTATTTCTTTTACCAAGATTACTAAAATTGAAGTTCATAATTAAAAATTAAATTATAGTGGTAGAAAATAATATAAAAGTATTTATATTATTTATACTTGTACTGTACAATTTCAATACTATTTTGTGCAATAATTCGACTCAGACTTAACGGCTATTTTGATATTATTGATGACAAAAGTTTAAAATTATTGATTCCCTTATCTGTCCAATATTTTTGTTTGACAGAGTTGAATTGTTTGGACCACGTGTCGTGAAAAATTTTGTCAAGGTCCTCGTGAGAATGTGACACGTGTGAAACAGGACCACCGAGTCATGACATTTGCACGTGCAACTATCTGTATGTTGTTGATGTCGACGGACATACACCACGTATGTTATGATTGGGTAAATCAAATTAGCAAACAGTGACACTAGTGAGACTTTATTAAACTAATTTTTTGCATTTTTTTTCGTGAAGGCATGAAATATTATTTTGTACCATAAATGGTACTGAAATATTATAATGTACTCAAAATGTACTAAAAATCTAAGTGTACTTTCAATATGCTCGAAAGGGCAAAATATACCCGAAAAGTACAAATGTATTAGGAATGGCAACTCTGGCGAAACAACTACTGTTTCGAAACAAGTCCGAACACGACACTAACGTTTTGATTCCAACCAAATATAAAGCTGGTGCTTTTCTTTTGTTGCTTAGCAAAGCCACGGTACATATTTTAAAAATTATCGATAGCAATTGACTCACTGGATTGTTTTTTATTAATACACTAGCTTACCCGTCGCGCATTGCTGCGATCTCAGAAGAAACGAAATTCAAGCAAACTCGTTATAATAAAATTCAATTTACATTTTATCATTTTTATTGAAACTTATTATTATTATTACTCATTTTCATCGGGAAAACATTTCAAAGTGTCGTTTCAATTCTATTTATTTATTGGAGTGCTTGTGGATACACGATATTTTTTGTTTTTCCGTCTGGTGCGTACACGAATAAATCAGGTGGTTTTCCGACGCGTGAGCTGGCCACATACAGTTGTACTTGTGAGAAGTACGGATTCTCCAAATCTAGCCCACACACTTGCAGCGATTGTCAGAAGTGCGATATTCCCCATTTTTATATATATATATTTTTAATCCTTTATAATTTTAATTATATAATTGCTCCTTCCTCTCTTCCTTGGCATGTTGTGAAATTTCTGATAGTTGGATAATAAACCGTTTTATTGTAATTTGTCTTTTTAAATTATTTTGAGTCGATATTAAAATTTGGAAAAGGGGGATCCCTAGATCCGTAAAATAGGCAAATTTCCTCCTACAACTTCGGTTGTTGTTCGGGATACAGTTAAGGTTTTAACAAAGTTCGAGCGAATACGTAATTAGCAAAAAAAATTGAAATAAAGTGATTAAACAAAAATTATTACAAATATCGTAAATAACAGTTCACAAATGCATATATAGAGATATTTTTTTGTGGGGGGAAATGGTTACAGATTACAGAATGAATGCTACTGATTCCATATTATCTGATATGAATGCTTACAGATTCATATCAGATAATGTGGAACCTCAGTTAATTGAGATTCTATTGTATTTAATGATAAGATACTGTTATACTAGTTTGTATTTTAAAAATCACAAAAAGTTAATATAACTTAGTTTTATTATTGCAAAATTATTTTGGAACATATACAAAAAATATATGTATATATTGTATATAATATAATTGAAATGTAGCTCTTCAAGATTTTATCATCAGTTACTTATTAAATTTATAGGCAGTTATTTTAAAATACACAATTTTAAGAGAAGGTTTTCTTCAACATAATAAATAATTCAGTCAATAATAAAAATTATTTATATATAAAGTTTAATTATTATTATTATCATCATCATCATCATAATTATTATTATTATTATTAAACACTTCAGTGATAAATAAACATTTTTAAAATGTTTGCATTAATGTACAATTGAATTCTTTAAAGTTTCAGCAATACATTAAAAAAAATGCATTATTTCAACAACAGAGTTTTGCATAGTACAATCAAATAAATTTTTTCATCATCAGAAAAATAAAATAAAATTTATAGATCTACAGTCATTTAGCACAGAAATATAAACTGCAGCTACCAAAAGATTTCCTTTTCTCACTTTTGGTACTGGAGTGTTGACTATCTCCCAATACTTTCTTTGGAATGTCCATTAATATAAAACATGTTGGATAATATAAAATAATTTTACTTACCTTCTCAAAGATATATATCACTGTTTTAAAACTACTCTTTTGAGCAAATCTTAAGAGTCTGTAGCAACTGTTATTTGATATATACTGATTTTTTTTATTGTTTTCTCAGATGCACTTTTTAAATCTATTAAAATTTTCCTTATATTTCATTATACAATGAAATAAATTACCAAGAAGTGCATGATGTTATAATCAATCTGAGAAAAACAATAACATTAAGGCAATGTTCTGGCCTCCAAATTCCATTTCATTTTTACAAATTTGTTCAATTTGTCATTCCACAGCAAAACCACACGTTTCTTCAATGGCTTGAGTAAGCTTCTCAAATAGTTTTTCAAATGATTCATAAGCTGGGATATCAATTCGATTAAAACTGTAAAAAAAAAATGAGAGAGCTAAGTAACACAACTATTATTAATCTGAAACTGTTTAAAATTTCAAAATAACTTTATATACCAAGTATGGGCTTTAGGTAAATTGTCAGTACTAGCGTCTACCAAATGGATTGTAAATAAGCGAGGTCCAGCAGCACCAGTTGAACCTAAAATATTAATATTTAAATTAATATAACAACAAGATTTTCATAAAATTTTTGATATTAGTACTGACAAAAGGAAATGTTGATTCAATAATTAAACTGAAACACAAAAACAAAGCTTACATAGAATACAATTTCAGTTATGCCAAATATTTAGAACCTCAAATAATTTAAATGCAATTAAAAAACTTTCTTCCTAAACATACATTCTAATTTTTTATTAATGTATTGGAATATAAATTTTAGGAGCTTTTACTAATAAATGAACATTATATCATTTATTAAATTAAATGTACATTTTTATGTAATTAATATTAATTTCATTATTCAAATTGTAAACCTAAACATTTAAATTTTTATGCTTCAAAATGTTTGTCAGAATGTTTAATTTGAATATATTTTCAAAAACAGTAGTAGGAGCAAAAGCCCATTAAGCCTAATAAAAAACTGTTTTGACTTTGAGATGTGATTTTTACTAACAACTATGGATACAACTAAAAATGATCTCTCAAATGTTTCCATCACGTAACATTTTAATACAAAGCTTTACAAAGTTTTGTCAAAAATTCATAAAAGCATATTATATACTTCATATTTAATTGCATTTAATATGCAGTATATAATATAAATTAAAACACTTATACATATATACATAATACATATGTATACAGTAATACCCCGAACTTACGCGATAGGTGGGACCGAGTGATAACTGCGTAAGTCGGGGTATAATTTCGCAATTTGTGTAAACTCCAAGTCGAATGTATGTAAGCTAATAAATGTACTCGTTAATCTTACCTCGTCTTTTGATTCGTTCACGATTACAAGAAATCACCACATAGAGTCTCTCAAGTCTCCGTAGATATAACAAACACAGAAATAAATAACACAAAATAAATTGTAGCTATTTGTCAATTCTGCACTACACGTCCTAACATGTAAGCTGAACAATAGTGTGAGGGGGAGTGAGTAATCAAAAGTTGCATGGCGCTCAAACAAAAGACGAATCGACGAGATTTGAAAATCGCGTAACTCCGGTTTCGCGTAAGTTGAAGTATTACTGTATATGTATAACAGTGTTTTAATTTATTTTAATATGGAAAAATTATCAATTTCAGTTTATTATTAATATATATGGGTACAAAAATACAACATAATATTTTACAAAAAAGCACTCAAAGCTAATAAGCCACTAATTAGCTTTTGTGCTTATCAGTTCTGATTTTCACACTGACAGTCCCTAGTATCTTCTTTCCATCTCCTTAATGTCCTGATGGGATCTTTTGCCCTGTTCTTCACTTACAGCCCCTAGATTTTCAGGAAAGTAATCAAAGTGCAAGTTCAGAAAGTATACCTTGAGGCTCATATTGCAGCCCAGTTTATGGTACTTAATTAACAAGTTCTCTACTATTTCTTTATAATTGGGATTTTTATTGTTTCCTAGAAACTTTGAAACCATTACCTTAAATACAATCCAGGCACCCTGTTCTTTGTTGTTCATTGCAGAAAAAAAGTTCTGTGTCTGATATTAATTTCCTTATATCAGGTCCTGTATGCATTCTTTCAGTTTTGTTTCAGATAAGGCTGGAAACTTTTTGCATAAATACAAAAAGCAGTCTCTATCCTTTGGTAAAGCCTGTATGTACTATTTCATTTATCCCAGCTTAATCTGCAGAGGTGGCAGCAGCACTTTCTCTGGATTCACCAAGCTACTCCTCACAATATTCTTTATTCCAGGTTGTAATTATTTTTAAGGTGGCCATTGCTTAAGAACCCAATGCAAATTCTAGCTCTACTATCCCATTCACAGAGAAAAACATGGAAACTTGGTATAATCTAACTGTTGACGTAATAACATGCACAGTACTTTCAAATATCCACAGATAAGTCACTAATGCATATCATAATTAACTTTTTTTAGAGGTTTTCAAGTTTTTGTATGTTTCCTTCAGATGCACAGAATGTGCTACAGGTACTGATGCATATTTATTGTCATTGTACAGAAGCACACCTTTGAGACTTCTTTTAGATGAGTTTATGAATAATCTCCAGGCTTCTGCATTATACTCTATTCCAAATTTATACATTAAGCTGCCTATATCTCTGTAATAAACCAGCAAACCACATTTTGCAAAATATTTGATATACTCCTTTTCTCTTTTCTTTTCATGTACCAGGAGAACACGGTGTTAAAGTCCAATGAGTTTTTATATTTTAATCGGGATCCTAGTAACTCAGTTGCATCTTTTGGGAGACCAAGATCTCTTACCAAATCATTTAGCTTGTTCTGAGTGAAAGGGTGCAGCTCATCATTTGAAGGTAAATCATCAGGGGAAAATTCTTCATCCTTTTTTTACAATCTCATCTTCTGAATCAGTTACAACTGGGTCAAGGCATTCTGGTGGAACAGGTATATACATCAGGTCCATGTGGTATAGGTCTTATTGCTGATTGAAGATTAGGGTAAAAAATCTGTTACAAGAAACAAATTTAACTTGTTATTGTATTCTTTTGTTAGTCTATTTTATTTGTGTATGTTCTTCAAACTTGACCTCTTGGAACTATAAAAACTCAGACTTTGTCTTTGCTCTTGAACAATCTCTCCATTTTCAAGTTCAAGGTGTGTTTGGCCTGTTGGTCCTCATTTGTACAATACTACAAGGTCCTTTCTTCAGAACAATTTTTTGTATGAAATGTTTTGTATTGTGTAAACCCAAACTTCATTATAAGTTTTTAGAGAGTAAATGTGTGATTTTTGTGTTCTAGCTGTTTGTTGTATCAAATTGTAAAGTGTAATGTTGCTCTCATGTCACATTATGTTTCTAGAAAAGTGATGAAAACTGGAGAAACCTCATAAAATATGTAGTATATAAAGCAGTCAAAGTATATGGGACACAGTCAAATGCATTTATATCTGTCATATATAGAGTTTTGTATTGTTATATATCTATCAAAAATAGCAGAATTTATAAATAAGTATTCCTTTCCTCCCATGTGGTTTCTAGGCAGCTTTATCTGTTGTTTTTTTGAAAATATTGAGTTGATTCATTATGTTGATATAGCTCAGTTCTAATGCAGGTTAAAGTATGAAATTATTGCACATTCAAGAAAATTAGACCTCTATACAAATATTCAATTATAAAATTTTAAGAAACAAATAATGCTATTTATAATAGTATTATTTTTCCTTCTTACTAAACATAATACATATGAATTGATTTAAAAGATTTATATAATTGTAAATCCAAAAAAATTGCAAAAATTGTTATTAAAATATTAAATTAATATAAGAAAGATGTATGAAACCTTGTAATGCTTTAAATCCTTGTAGAGGTACACGTGAACTACCAGTTACAAACTGAAGTAATCTAGCTCGTCTTTCTTCATTATAAGAATCCACACACTGCCAAAACCATTTCACTATATTGGTGTCAGGAGTACAATGCTTTAACCGTGTATGCAGTTTCCAATCTTCTAAATCAATCTTTCCCAGACCACCAATTACAAGCTGGAAGAAATTTTCAATGAAAACAATATTTCAATATGAATATATAATTAGAGATACTTAATGAATGGTAAACTTATAATAGAATTTTAGAATTTTAAGATTCAAATAATTTATAATTTAAAATTACAAGTATGTAAACTAAAAATATTAGTTTCAAAATTTCAAACACCTGAACTCAGAAACCATTATAAGTTTACAATTGATGAAAAAAGTCCATAGACAATGATGTGCCATTATGTAATTTTACAAATTTGACTATTATGTAAATTTTATATGGGCAGTTCCGATAGAAGTTGACTACAAGGAGGACAAAGCCAATTCAGCAGTGGCCTACAAATTAAGGTCTGTTGTAAGACATGTACTTCATTGTGTATGCAACTTTTTCATCAATTATGAGTGTTTTAATGATTTTTTAAAATATTTCTTTTCTTTTTGAAATTATCAAATAGCAAAGTCATTTACAAACAAGAAGAATTAATCTAACTTAGGAAACATAATTTACATCTACAGTATTTGAATATAAAACAATAGGCCTTTACAAAGTATTATAGGGGGAACTAATTTTAAATACATATAAACTTGGTTCATTAAATAATCTTTCAATTACTGAAAATTAGAAGAGAAAGAATTAAAAGATACATTGCAGAATTGAAACAACACATAAGGGCGACTGGGCATAGTTGTCACAGTGCAAATATCGCCTATATAATCAAAACTGAATGTTCACGTCATCCAGGAGTAGGTTCATTTACCCACTCGTCTATGTCATTACAAAATTTGAATAATATCCATTGCATTGTTTTCCGTAAATTAGCGGTTAAAAGATTTACAGCAAGTTGTGTAAACTTTGATGCATCATGTCTTGTGCCATTTGAAAATTTGCAATTAGTAAAAGGTGAGTAACAACTGTATTTCCTATTAGATGGGTCCATAATGTATATATGCATTACAAGCAATTGAATTTTCTATTTTGAAATTAGAAACTATGAGTCAATTTGTTAAGGAAGTTCATTTGGGGCAAATTGTCACTAAGACTGATGACTCATCAGAAGAGAAAGAAAAGACCTTCTGTTTGGTTTGTGGTGAGGGTTTGGTCTCACGAGCTATGTACAGATGTAAATCCATATTATGTTTGTCACAACTGTGACTCTGAAGATAATATGTAAAGATTCAAGTTACTTGTCTTTATCAGAATAAATAATAGTAAATTACTAATCTATTTCCTTTATAGAATTGGCACGAGTAAATGTCATATTACACATAATTTAACATAACCAAAATAAACTCAGGAAATGCGAGAACTTAGACTACATATGCCCTGTGACAATATACCCCTTACGCTGTCTTATGCTGTGACAACATACCCAGTCTAGGGGTATGTTGTCACAGCATATATGTAATCTAAGTTCTCACATTGTACGAGTTTATTTTGGTTATGTTAAATTATGCATAATATGACATTTACTCGTGCCAATTCTATAATCAAAATAAATTACTAATTTACTATTATTTATTTTGAGAAAGACAAGTAATTNACATACAAGTACAGTACAGTATTTTCTGAGGAAACACTTGTACTTATTTTTTTTAACCCCATTCCCGATAACCCGGCATTTTCACAAACTCGGCCATCCTTCGGTCCACATTAGGCCGAGTTTTTGAGGTTCTACTGTAATAGAATACTATCATGTGTTAGATTGTACTCAATTTAAGGCAGATTTTGCTTTTTCTGATAGAAAAATTCTATTTTGTTTAAATTAGAAAAAAGGTTTATGAAATGGCTTTGAAGAGGAAATATAATGAGTTGACTACTTCAGATAAGTTAAATGTGATTTGTCTGACTGACGGTTTTTCCAAAATAGCTTAAATTACAAATAACTCGTAATATTAATGCATTTGTAACCAAACAAATGAAAAATTTTACAAGATAATGTCACAAAAAAATTTGATTTGAAAAAGTTCAATAATTCAAAGTCATATTTTTCTGGTCCATTAGTTTCAAAATAATAAAGTTTACTGTATATTGATTTCTATATTTTCTTGGATATTTAAATATAATTTCATTATAAAAAACTTTAAAACATTAGAATCTTCATATATTAAAAATGCTAAGTATTTTTTCAACCAAAAAAAAAAAATTTATACACTTAATTTTATTGAGTTAACTGATTCAGAAATCTAAATGTTATGCACTACACTTAATATAAAACTTTTAATTAATATCTAGAATCAAAATAAAAATTTTCAATTAAGACATACTTCTAGTTCCTTTTCATCAAAAGCTTTAAGAAGATGTTGTGGAATCAACTCATTAAATCCTTTTTGTAAGGCAAGAAATTGCTGTTCAATACCTCTCATAAATCTGTAGTTTACATACAATCTAAAACAAAGTTTATCAGTAAATTATTGTAGCTTTCCATATAATATAAGTAAATATTAAAAAAAANAAAAAAAAAAAAAAAAAACAAATCTAAACCCCATAAAGTCACAGGCATAGCCAACATCTTTCAAAGGTTTACAAACAAATGGTTAGAACAAATCGACGTAGCATCTCCTATAGACAGATCTCAGGTGTATATAAAATTCCATTGCTACACATAGATACCAGGTTCGATCAAAATCTTGACTACAAAGATTTGACTAATAGATCATTAACAACCAGAATAAGACAGCCTGTATATGGCATCTCAAAAATGAATAACAACAAGCATATATAAATGTAAATAACAAAGTTGCTATATATAATAAAACAACTAAACAAAAAATGATATATATACATTATATACTTGTTACAGAAATACAGCTGAACTCAATTATGAGCAAAACACCATAACAATGTTAATTTACAAGTATTTCCATATATTTTCTCATGGTTATAATGAGCAAATTTTCAGTAGCTATGCAAACACAAACTTTCTTAAATGTTAAATAATAAGAAATGCAATATCAAATTCGTGAAAGGGTTACTTATTTTTATGACCACTGAATAATTAGTTTTATGACCTGCATAAATTACAAGCCTATTTATCACTTAACTTTCTTTTTGGAGACTACCCTCTTCTTTCTTGACTAGTTTCCACCCCTACTGTGAAATTTATCTAATCATCACCTCAATTATAAAATTACCATATACTCTAGCTAGAAACAAGCCCTTCTATAAGAAATATCTCTCTTGGTTCACAAAAAGTAGAAATTATTCATAAGTTAGAATGTGATGTTAAAAACGTCAAAGTGCGTAGAAAGTTTTCTTTGTCATTTTTGACAGTATTGACATTATGAAAAAATAAAACAAACATAAATTTTAAGTTTTGTAGATTAAAAAGACTAAATGAAATTGGGTATATTATTAATTAATATTATCTTTAATTATAAAATAATAAATTGTTTAATACTAATTATATCAGAGTTTATATAACTATTAATAAAAATACAGTATAGTATAATTACATATTTTCTTTTTGAATCAACTTATTTAGAATTAAAAATTACAAGATACAATTCACTAATTATCAGTGGTGTAGCTACAAATTTTACCACCTATGGGGTAAAATTTGCTATGTGTTTGCACCCAAAGAAGCCACCCATTTGTCTCCTAGTCTCCTAATGCTCATTATTATTGAGTTTGACTGTATTTTAAATTTAATTATATAACATAACAATCTAAAAACTACATCTCCATACAAACAATTTTAGAAAACTTAACATAGACAACTTGCATTAATATGAATTGCTAGGGTAATAGTTGTTAGTTAGCTTTAATGAAAATTCATATATTAACAATTTTCAGGTTAAGGTTGTATAATTTAGGGCAACTGAAATCTCTAAATTATAATATTTTGAATTAATTTACTAAATAAAGTTAAATAAAACAAGCAATTATTTATTGTGACATTGTCACAATATCAGACTGAAATTTTTAATCATATTTAATTTAAAATATATGCTCTCTACCTCAAATTAGCAGTGTCTTGGCCCCTGTGTATCATACTTTTCCTGTTAGATGACTGGCATGACTATTCTATCTAATACCTTTCGGAAAAAATTTTTGAATTGAAATAACATGACTTCCTGTCCCTAAGGTTTCCATAACTGGTCTCATTTTTCATTTATCTAATGCTGTTCTTGAGATTAAAGAAAGTCCACTGTCATCCATTCAGATGAATGGATGACAGTGGGAATTTATAGATCTACAATTTTTTCAACTTGCAGCCCAATTAAATTTATTTACAAAAACAAATTATTTTAAATTATTTTCAATCACACAAAACGAAGAAGAGATATGATATTTGCCATTTAAGTATAGAGCAGTACAGTAATACCCCGACTTACACGAATCCGGAGTTACGCGATTTTCAAATCTCGTCGATTCGTCTTTTGTTTGAGCGCCACGCAACTCTTAATTACTCATTTCCCCCCACACTATTGTTCGGCTTACATGTTCGGACGTGTTCGACATATAGCTACAATTTATTTTGTGTTATTTGTATGTATTTATATGCAAAATTATACCCCGACTTACGCGAATTTGACTTATGCGATTATCGCTCGGTCCCACCTATCGCGTAAGTTCGGGGTATTACTGTATATCAGAGTGATTAAACAAAACAGTAATTTTTATATGTTGATTGTTTGAAATGATAATCATTAATATAAGTAATGAAATAATACCAATAATATCTAGCAATTTACTAAATAATAACAAAAACAAATGCTTTTGACAATTTTAAATTGTCATCATTGGATTAAAATAGCAGTTGGACATGTATATGAAAATTCAAATGTCACTTTAAACAAAAGGAATAATTATTTCATTGGTAGAAAATGAAGATGTCAAAAATGACACAACCAAATATTTTTTTTAAAAATAAGACTTAAAATTGTAGGTGTAGTTTAAAGATGGACCTCCATACTTTACAGAATGTCTCAGCATCTCAAAAATTTCTAGTTTCTCCAGGTGTTTCAGATTGGTCCAGTTCCTAATTGGGTGTATTAGACTTGCTTGATTGAGAAATACCTGTTCATCACTTTTGGTTGCAAATGTTGCTAATGCTGTGGTCAACAGGCCCTTTTGGATAGAATAACTCAATGCTTCTAGATATGCATGCTAAGAGATAGAGTCTTTGCTTCAATACACACCTGTTTCTTGTTGTTTATAATGGGGATGGAATACACCCCAAATAAATTTTGCAGGTCTGTTAACAGAGTCTTTGGAATTTTGTAATAAAGAGAATATAGTTGGGTTTCTCTTGTAGGAAAACTAAACTATATCACACACACAGCAAAACATAGGTACAGTAGAGTCCTGTACAACGCGGGGGATTCGTTACGCATTATAGGAAATTGCGTTATCAAAACCTGCATTATCACAGGATTTATGTAAGTTTAAATCTTGGCCTATAAGTTGAAAAAAAAACGTATATCTCTGATCGACAAAATTCAAAAATGTTGCTTGCTTTATTTGCGCATTGTACAGGACTCTGTATCCTTCAAGCCTTGCACATTAAAAAAGAAAAAAAAAAAAAAAACAAATCTAAACCCCATAAAGTCACAGGCATAGCCAACATCTTTCAAAGGTTTACAAACAAATGGTTAGAACAAATCGACGTAGCATCTCCTATAGACAGATCTCAGGTGTATATAAAATTCCATTGCTACACATAGATACCAGGTTCGATCAAAATCTTGACTACAAAGATTTGACTAATAGATCATTAACAACCAGAATAAGACAGCCTGTATATGGCATCTCAAAAATGAATAACAACACTGCTCTGGCCCAATTTAGTAAATTGGGCCAGAGCAGTGTTGTTATTCAAAAAAATTCTAGTTTATCTTCTATTGTATTATGGAAAGTTTTGTGTATATTTAATAAATTTTTTATTATGTCATATTTTGTTGTCATGTACAGTACATCATATTTATGTTTTGAATTTGAATATTGTCACATAACTCATAGAATAATCTATTTTTTAAAAAAAGCTGCTTGAATAATATTTGATTTTAGAACAGTATATTAACTTGAAGATGATCTCTAAAAGTGATTGAAAGCATTAGTGTGAGAGTCCAGGATTGACAAAAAGAGATTTTTCGAGTGAAAATTTAATTTTTGAATTTTAAAATTCCTCTAATTTTTCCCATGATTGTTAAAATTGTAAAGGATATGATTTTATTCTTCTGTGGAGTCACTTCCCTTTCAAGATGATACATTGAATGTGTCACCAGGAACTTGACAACAAGAAATTGTTATTGGACATAGGCAGTGCAACATTGCCAAAAAAAATGCAAGGGAAAAAGGAGGTAGGACCCCAACAAAAGGCAATGACTGATGACAACAACAGTTCATCCATCTGCCAACGAGGGGACAATTCATTCGTCCAAGAATCCGCCACCATCAAAAGTTCGTCGTAGTCAGAGTCACCGCAACAATTGGATACCTTAGTGACCTTTCTCCATCCTACATGAACTCCATCAAGCCTTAGAGTCGCCTCAGATCCTTTATCAGGTATCTATGAACCTTATATGTAAACTCTCTCTCTCCAACTTCGAACTCACGAACTAGTTAACATCGAGGACAAAGCTGATACATGATATTAGTCTTGCTTGTATAAATTTAGGTAGTTACAGTAAATAAATGGAAATTTGTTGTTGTTTGATTTGTGTTTGATGCACTTCCTCAACCCTTGCCATCTTTCAAGTTGGAACTAAGTACCTACAACGCAACCACTCATGAAAAACCGAAACTATCACCAACAAGGCTTCTGTGTCTGCCTAAAAGACACAGTGGTGTCAGTCCTAACAAACTAGTCATTGCAAATGTGATGTCAACCCTTCAGTCCCATGGTGTCGAAGCATAGGGAGTGCTTCGCATTGTCACATTAGTTTGGTTGATTTTTACATTAAATCTAGCTGCTGAAACCAATACAGGTGTCTGTGAATATTCATATCCTTTTTCAACTTCTGAGATGATTTTAATATATGAGTGAGTTACATTAACAGTAGCATGTATGTAGCAAGCACTAACACTTTTTTTCTTGGTGCCAAAAGAGTAAAAAAGGAACCAAATTTAGTGCATAGTAGCCAAACCTGGTATAACTGTAAGCACTCCCTGATATGCAAACTAGCATGTGTTTGCACAGGACCGCATCCATTTAAAGGGGTGGGGTTAACCCCTATTTTCTGAGTACAGTAGAATGGTCCACTAAAACCAGATGTTTGAATTTTGCTCTACAATTGGAGATTGAACCCATCTTTGCTTGCTAAGAGAAGAAAATCTATACTACTCAAAACAGAACATTTATTACAGTACCACTTTTTATTGTTTATGTGAAAAGTGTAAAGAGCACCATTATTAGAGACAGGGATAATTCTTGGGGTTGTGAAGGTAATTTAAAGTTCACTTTAACAAATTCAAGTAAAACTTTTGTTCACTTTATCACATGAAAATTAATGCTGTGACAATAGTGTTTTGCAGGGCAATGGAAAAATTTGCTTTATCAGTGTTTGTTTTAAGATGAGTAAACTGTACTAATTTAGCACCAAAGCCAATTACTTTCTGAATAATAGAAGTTGGTTTTTGTATATACATTGTACTATAGAAATCTGTAATATGTAATTTTAACAAGTTATAAAATATATAGATTTTTATATATTTATATATAAATATTTTAAATATATTATATATGGATATAATATATTTTTCAGGATAGTATATAATAATTATCCTGAAAAAATTGATTTTAAAAAGACTATAATTTATGAAAACATATATATTCTTTAAAAACTTCTTACAATAAATATGATCAATTATAAACCTGACAAATTATTAAATATGATAAAATTCTACTTCAATATCATCAAACAAGACTTAACTAACTTTAATGATTGCATAAATAAACATCCTATAAAAAAGATTTAATTCAAATAACCAAAAGCACTTTAATTATTACTATAAATAAAGAATAAATATTTATTAATTATTCTAATTCAGGCATCAAAATAATTATTATAAAATTCTATACTTTAAGCAAATAATTTTGAATGCTATTTAATTTTACCTAACATATTCTCTTTTATTTTCTTCTGTCACAGGAATCTCTCTTCCATTTGGCTTTAATTCATGCACTTGTAACTGACCAAATGCATCATGTTCAACTGAGAAATTAGTATCAAATACTGAAGTAATATCGTTTTCACTAAACAAATAAGAAATTATTTTTAATAATTATTTGTAATAAATTAAAATATATTATTCCATTAATACAACATACAGCATCCACTGCAAACTTCTATGTAATTCAGGATCAACAGCTTCTATATCATCCAAGGTAATAGGTTTATTTAACAACATTTTATAAAATGGAAGTGTAAAGCCTCCATCAATGTAATGTCCATGAAATACAGCAATTCCTATTACTCTTCCAACAAAATGAAAGTAAGACAAATGTTCCTGTAATTAGAATTTACATAAAGTTACAATGAATTACATCAAATAAGAAGAATTAAATTTAATCAATTGAAATAGATATACAAGGTTTCCACTTAAACATCTATCCAGGAACAAAAGAGATCTTTCCAGCACTGGTTAGATTAGATTATGGACTGCACACAAATACACTGGTTATTGTGTCACTATGATGCATCCATTTAGCTGCTATCTGCAATAAGTACAACATACAAAAGATGCAACACAGTGATTCAGTGATGCAACATGATGTTAAAGTTACAGCTTAGACCACAACTCCTTCAGCACATTTTATGGACTGATGAAGTACTTTTTTCTCTTTCAAAGCAGTGTATAACTATCACATTGGGCACTAATGGGCAGAGCATGGCACTATGCAGGCAATACCAAATGAGTTTTATCCTAAATGTCTAATATGGATTTTGGGTGAGCAGCTTCTAGGTCCCATATTCATTGATGGATTCCTGAATAGTAACCAATATCTGAACATCCTAAACATGGCAGTAGACAAATGGCTTGATGGTTTTCCATTGGCACACTATAGCAGATTTTTACACTTCTTCCAGCAGTTATTTTCTTAATAATAATAATAATAAACTTCATCAACTCCTATAAGTCACACACTCATACACTAAGGACATACAAATGGAGTTTGGCTTAGACAAATGCAAAACAGTTCACATAGAAAAAGGAATCCTGAAGAAAGAAGATTTTGGACTTGGAAATGGGAATGTTATTGAATCCATGGAAGAGGGCGAGTTCTACAAGTATTTAGGTTTCCAACAGGCCAAACTAACAGAACATACACAAATAAAGCAAAGATTAATTAAAGAATACCAAAGTAGGTTAAACGCTATACTTAGAACACAGTTAAATGCAAAACACACAGTTAAAGCAATAAACACATATGTCATCCCAGTACTCACATACTCTTTTGGAGTTATACATTGGACTCACACAGATCTCGAGCAACTCCAAAGGAAAACAAGAACAACACTTACTAAGCATAAACAACATCATCCTAAATCCGCCACAGAAAGATTAACCCTTCCACGTAAAGAAGGCGGACGTGGCCTGATTGACATAGTTAACCTTCACTACAAACAAATACAGTCACTGCGAGAGTTTTTCTACAAGAAACAAGAAACATCACAGTTACATAAAGCAGTAACTCTAGCAGACTCAAATAACACACCATTAAACTTACACTCACAACATACAGACATGACACAACATATAAAAAGCATAGACAACATTAAGCAATCATGGGCTCAAAAGGCTCTCCATGGCAGGCATCCTTACGACCTGGCCCAGGATTTTGTTGACAAAACTGCGTCAAACAGCTGGTTAGATCGGGGATGCCTCTTTGGGGAGACGGAAGGATTCATGATTGCCATACAGGATCAGGTCATAAATACTAAAAACTACAGAAAACACATACTCAAAGATACAACACTCACAAATGACACATGCAGAAAATGTCACATCATGCCAGAAACTATACAACACATCACTTCTGGTTGCAAGCTCTTGGCACAGACAGATTACTTACATAGACACAATCAAGTAGCAAATATAATACACCAAGAGCTTGCAAAGAAACACAAATTGGCAGACATCCACGAACCATACTACAAGTATATTCCACAGACAGTATTGGAAAATAACACGCACAAAATGTATTACGACAGAGCCATAATCACAGATAAAACAATTTACCACAACAGACCAGACATCACACTCATTGACAAACACAATAAAATCACATACATTATAGACATAGCCATTCCAAACACTCACAATGTACAAAACACATGCACTGAAAAAATTAGCAAGTACACAGAACTCGCCCAGGAAATAAGGCATCTATGGAGGATTGGTAGGGTGCTTATTGTACCTGTTGTTCTCTCCTGTACAGGTGTGATACCACACACACTACACAAAAGCCTGGGAACATTACAATTGAATAGAAATACATACATCACACTACAGAAGGCCACTATATTGAATACATGTCATATTGTTAGGAAATTCCTGAATACAGACACTGACACTGACACACTTATTTAATTTGTTTTGGTTGCTATGCCTTGACTCTGGTCCGGCATAGTACACAGCCACCGGTTTAAACGGAGTATTACCCACTAAACCCAACACAATAATAATAATAATGTTTTTTGGCCTCTTCAACAGCCCTCATCAGGAACATGAACAGAAAAAAATTCAATTGATCTTCCAAAAGTTCAATAAAATGTTTAAATAGCTGGTGACAAAATATTCTACACATTCAGAAAGTTTAACCTGGCTGACATCTAATGAAATTTCAAATGTTTGATATTAAAATTTGAAAGTTTTAGATTAGCTTCAAACAATTCATTCAAATTTCAAAATTGGATCAAACAAAAACTGATTACAAATTATTAAAAATTAATATCCAATATTACAGCCACTTTCTTTTCCCTATATCATATATAAATTAAGCCCACCAAGTCTGTATTATTAAGAAAACTGCTGGAAGAAGTGTTAGTGCACTAAGTAATTATTAGTTATCTTGGTTCCAGCTTCTGATGTTTTGATATAGCAGATTTGCAAAGGTCACTCTGGAAAACTTTTAAAAAAAATCATAAACTATTTCACCAGTTTTTAATTTTTTTGCCACTTTAAATTATTTATCACCACCAGTTTTGCTTACTAAGTAATGCAGGTGCTGGTAGCCTTATCAGTTTGTAGTCTGGAAAGCAAAAGTAACATGTTAAGTTGTCACTTAGAAATACGAATAATTTTTTAATGAATAATTCCAAATAACACATTTGATCACAATGCTTGAATACAATGCAGTATTTCAGAGGTTCTGTCATGTCAAAATTTTTGTGTTTTAGTTTACTGAAAAAAGATCAAAGTGAATAGAAATCCCCAAATTTTCTATCAATTGATAAAAATCCTTAATCTGGAAATGCTAAGTAGCATTGCATGAAAACTGCCTTCGGTTCTTAACAGTACTTTTTACTTTCCTGCCCAAACTTACCACACGACATCATGAAATTGTGAGTAGTTGTGTGATGGATGGGAGCTAGACATTCTGCTGTTTTTTATGAAGCAGGCTTTGTGATTCAATTTCATGTTGAATATTGAAATAAGCAGACTAAAGTTTTTATTGCCACTTTAATAAAAATATTGCCAAATGGCAATTTTAGTGCTATACAGCATGGGTTCGGTATCAGTACAATGGCATGACACATCATTCCTAGAGACATACATCAGTGGCTTGCAGAGCAGTATGGCAACAGCTGGATGAGACATGCCAACAAATTTCTCAGATTTGACTCATGAATTTTTTCCTATGGGGTCATCTATAAGAATCAGTGTATGATGCGTAGGCGTACTCAGCAATGCTAGGTGAAATTGGCAAACAGAAGAAAAGCATACAACAGACCTATAAAATGATGATACAAGGAATGATATGTGCCATCTTCATCTTTATATTGCTGCTGAACATGTTTTCTAACAAAATAAATGTTACTTTTTTGTATAAAATTTCTGCAATGCTGACTTAATCCTTTATAGTCATAGATTATACGTATGTTATGCTAAATCATCTTGATTCCCTTTGATTATTTTAGCACTGAAACAAGCATGCACCACATTCATACAATTAATCAATGTTGGAAAGATCTCTTCTGTCCCTATATAAATGTTTATGTGAACACTGTATATAGAGTAATAATAATGGTAATTGAAAAAATCTATTAGTAAAAATGCTTTTTAAGCATTGTTGGAATTGTTTTTATTCTTATTTGAAGATATATATAACATTTGTCTAGAAAACAATCATATATGATCACATAATATTTAAATGTACTTACAGGATTAACTGAAGAATCTGGATTAATTTGTAAAGTGTATATATCATCTCTTGTATATTGAAATAAACCATAGTAAGGATTAAGCATTTCATGTGACAGCAAATACAGCCATTCTCTGTAAAGCAAAACATTTGTCACTCAAATTAGAAAAAAAAATGTAATTTCTAATTTAATCACTCATAATTATATTACTGTAATTTCCTGTGAATAACCTGAGACTAAACTGTTTTAAAGTCAATTTGAAAACAGGTGGGTTACCTGCTAATTTTAAATTGCAATTACAAAATTGTCAAACAGCTTTTCCTTTATGTAAACTTATCAAAATCTTTAAAAACAACAAAAAAACAATCCTTTAGAAACCTTTACCTTTACTATTGTAATTTTTTCCTAAAAATCACCAAGGCAAATAATACTTCACCTTTAGTTCTTTCACATTTTCTACACTCAATCCATGCTTTAATAATAATTATTATTATTTTGCACTCTTATCTGAACTTCTGTCTTGAGAGCTAAGTTTCCAGTAATTCCCACCTCTCTATATAATGGCTCTCAGAGAACTACTTGGAAACTGAATATCAATTTAGCATTCATTAGTTTTAGTTTTTCTAGAAAATAAAAGCTACCCAATCAGCTCTTGAATGTATGTCATTGAATATTATTGACATTAAAATGTTTTAAGCTTATTTTAGCATTTACTATTACATTCACTAAACACAACAAATAAAATAAAATAATAATAAATTTTGGTAGGCATTTTATATTTTTGACTTAATGCACTTTAGGCAGTTCAGTCTCAAATATTCCACTTGCAATTATAAACTAAATGAAGCAGAACTAAGATTTCCACGAAGTGTCTGATGATCATGTATTATGTACAGTAGGAGAGAAGGCAGACTTAATGGTGACAGCAAAAAAGCAAAACCCCTTGCTGTTTTAAGGAGGTGAGAGCATTATCAGTTCCTTATCATTCTAATAACAATGCCCAGATGACAGTAGCAATTTTTAATGACTGGTTGCTGTCATGAAACCAGAAACTTAACTGTAATATCCTTCTGTTGGTTGACAAATGTATGATGCATCAAAAGACAAGCATTTTAATTTAAATAAAGTTACACATTTGCCCATCCAATAAAACATCATTCATCCAATCTTATGATCATGACATAATCTGAACTACAAAAGCATATTATTGCCAAAAAATGCACAGTTGACTTCTCCAGGACATTGAAAGCACAAAAATGAATGCAGAAGAGCTAAAAAGAAAGAAAGAAAAAAACTCTTTTAGGGCTCTTCACCTTCTTAAACAAAGCTGGAAAACTTACATCAGCTATGATTGTCAACAGTTAAGCATAGTGGATTTGTTAAAGCTGCAAAGATGCAGCTGAAGATGAAGTAGAGAAAAACAATTATAATTTAAATCTCAATGATATGCCAATTTCAATGCATAGATGAAAATTGACAAAGGCAACTGCACTGAAAATTATCTTAAGAAAGAAATCAACAGTTCCAAAGCAAAAATTTTCAAAACTTTTTACCTGTATTGCCTAGACAATTTTTTTTGTTAGTTTAAACTGAAAATTACTATTTCTGGAAATTGATGATACCACATAGACAAATTGATTAGTTAAACACTCACATTTTTAAGAAGCCAAAAAATGGCTTTTTAATGTTTTCAGAATGTTTGTTATTCCAATATCAGATCACTATAGACCAGGGGTCGGCAACCTGCAGCTCGCGAGCCACATGCGGCTCTTTGGATGTGAAGCTATGGCTCTTTAGTACCATACGCAAATATTATTTATTTTAATAAAAAAAAAAAAAAACATTTAAAAATCGTTCTGAATCGATTAACAAGGATTAGGCACTGATTCTATCTCTCAGCCACTTGTACTCGCTTTTCATCACACCCCTCCCCGTCACACGCGTCGTCACTGTCGTCAATTCGTCGGAAGCTCTCGAATGACGCCGTCGTTGGATGTTTTTATTATCTAATTTGTTGTGAAAAACACTACTTATATATGAATAAATAGATTAGTTTTTTTTTTATCAAAAAACTTTATTTATGCGAGTACTATTTATTGTTGACGAGAAAAAATTTTGTGGCTCTTTAAAAACTTTGAAATTTTGTAAATTGTAATTTTGGCTCTTCCGACTCAAAAGGTTGCCAACCCCTGCTATAGACTAAACAACAACAGTCTGATGTTGGAATGACAAACATTCTGAAAACATTAAAAAGACATTTTCTGGCTTCTGCAAAATTATTATTATTAATATATTCAAAGAAAATAATTTAATAAATAAGCTTATGTAACAAGAAATGTTTAAAGAAATTCATTACAGAATTTTAAAAAAATTACAATAAATGAAAGAAAATATACCTTGCTACGCCACCATAATCAAGACCTTCTTCACCTCGAAATTTTACCATAAGCCTTTTCCTCAAATCTTTAGGCCTCATCTTCATTATAAGCCTGTAAGATTCCTAAAAATAAAAAACAAGTTATCAAAAAATGATCTTTTCTTTAAAAGTCACATACTGTATCAATTTAAAAACAGTTAAATTTTAAAAATTTATTTTAAAAAAATTTTCAAGAAATGCAGTTTATAAAGTATTTCAAATGCATTTACAATTCTTTATTAACAACTAGAAATAAAGACAAACAAACAAACAAGTTAAATTTTTCTTTAATTTCTCTCATTGTATACTCGATTTTATAAATAATATAATTTAAAAATATAATATCAAAGCATTTTCAATTTATAATTAAAAATTAATTATTGCATATCATAACGAACAGCTCAAATATTGAGCTACAAACTGCAAACACTTGCTGGAATCATAACTGGATTAAGTTTTGAAACAAAATTTTGTTGCATGCACACACAAATTGATCCATATTATCAATTACATGCTTTATTCCCTTTTAAAACTTAAATTTCTATTTTATAATCACTATTTTTTTAAAATTAAGTTTTAGTTCATTGTAAAACTGATCTAAAACATAATTTTATGCTTTGTTATTGCAGCAAAAATTTTCCAAGAGCCAAACTAGTCCAACTATTCTTATTTTCTCTTTTTCCATAACACACTACTGTGAGATCCGCACATTGAGGAGGTTAATTTTTATAAGATATTACATTTAGATAAATAATTATTCACAAAAAAAGGATGTAACATTAGTCAGTTCTGAATGAGGGATGAAACAAACTTCCTTTCCAGGCTGATAAAAACTTAACTCACTGTCCTATGACAATGAGTCAGTAACCCAACTGTCCCTATAAAAAAAGGCATTTTCCAGCCATTCGAAGAAGCAGTTGATGAAAGGTTCAACCTGCCATAGTGGTCAGTCTTCGATAGGTCCAAAGTCGCCATAATATTTTTCTACAGAGATACCCTAAAAGGGACAGCCACATAAAAAGTCGGCAATACTTTATAATGCACACATAGAAGTTATGCTTCAAGATTCACACTCTCCTCTCAATCTCCTCCCACATAAAGATCGTACATTAACCAAAGATAAGAATAAGACTCCTTTGTGAAATTAGTATAAATGATAGTTGATTGTAAACTCTCTCTTTTATATAGATTAGAATGTCAGGATAATCTTGAATAATCTCGCAAAATCTTTTAATTGATTCTCATGCGCATAAGTATAGTGTATCCCATTTATATTGGTATTAATTAAATTTTATTGTTTTTGTTTATATAAAAAGATAAAAAGTTGTCAATTTCTTTTCTTCAAATATCATAACACAACACACTCCACTTGTAGGAAAAACCCACCTATTTGATTAGATTCCATATAAATATTATCAGCCATAATAGTTTACATGTGTTAATCCGTGATAAATCAATTAACTGGTGTTGGGAGCCTGAAATAGGAGACTATAAATTTATGATTGTTCATCTCCACCTTTTTTAATACACACTATAATCTCCATCCTTTGACAAGAGGGCTAGTCCAACAGACTAGAAGCCGAATAAGTGGTATCAGAGTGATAACCAGCTCTCTATCCCTAACCGGAACCTCACACTACAGAAACATTTACTATATGCAAACATTTTAATTATATTAAATGAAAAATTTTTAAATATGAAGGAATTAAATTCTAATTCAGGAAATTTTTGATATGAAATCTTCAATTTTATCAAAAATATATATCTGATAAAATTAATGTTACTTCATATGAAATTTTTTATATAAAACTATAGGCTATTAATAACTATAAGAATATTTTCAGATAAATTTTACAGTTTTAAACAGATAATTATAAAATCCAGAATAATTCAAAATGCAAGAATCCCACATAATATGTTTCTAATTAATCTTTTCCTAGTAAAATAGCTCTTGGTTTTTAAAACCCAAGCTTCATTGTATGTATCAATGACTAGATGGTTGAGTTGATTAACCTACCACTCTTGGAGACCCAGAATCAAATCCAAGCAAGCAACCACAGGAATTTTGTCATGGAAGGTCCATTTCAGTTATCTTGGGTCCCCATCTCTCACCATCTGGCCATCCCCACTACAAGCCTGGCCAAATCCAAAATAGGTTTAATTAAAAAACTCTCTTTAATACCACAGTACAAAAAACAGAAAAAAAATGTAATATGATTGCCTACAACATTTTTTGGTTAATGTTATATACAAGGTTCCTACTCAAACTTTTGTTTTAAATTCAATAACTTTCCCTGACCAACTATGTACAAATTCCCTGACCCTTAGGTTGCTTACAGTACAGAACGTTGACAAAATAAAACAGATTTGGCTTATTACAGGGTGCACACCAAAATTGAACAAATTACACATTTTTTCCAAACATAGTTTTTATTGCAAAAACCAAAAAGGTTTACAAATTTTTTAAACTACATTGTTTGTAAGGCCATAAAGAATACGTTTACTCAATATATCCCCTCCTGCTTGATTGACTGCCTCCATTCTTGGTCTGAAGCGTACGCAGGCATGCTTTAATGTGTCACAATCCATATCAGCAAATGCCATGTAAATAGCGGTTCTCAATGATGTGACGTTTAGATGTCTGGACTTGTTTGTAACCCTTTCAATTATGCTCCATACATAGAAGTCCAAAGGATTCATATTTCAAACATTTAAATTAACAATATAAATTATTATTCATTTGGCCAATAAATTATTATTTGGTCAATATAACAATATAAATAATTCAGTATACTTGTAATAGGAATTTATTATCATCATGGAATGCCTGTAATGTGCACTAGGGATAGGTTTGAACCACTATGATAAGACGATAAGATTTAAAATAGTTTTGAAAATTATATAGGTAATATTTTTATAATAGAAACCATATATTAAGTGCATCAAACATGCATCATAGGAATTTTTAATGCTGCTAGAACGTCCACTAGGGGGTGTCCTGGGCTACTGGGCCACTATATTGTTGCCTTATTACTTATTTAGATATGTTTACAATAACTTGTATTGTTACTATATCAATGCACAAAACTATCACAATAAAGGTGATACTGAGAAATAAAAAAAATTCTATTTATACTAAATAAAAATTGAACAGAATATAAATTTAAAAATTTATACTAAAATAATTAAAAGAACTGTTACTTCAGACGGCTATAAGAAAATATTGGGAAGATTTCACAAGATAGCTAGTTCAATTATATCACTAAAAATTTTTTCTCTGTATTAAACAATTTTATAATGTAATTTAAATTATTTTAAGCTATGTTTGATTAAATATTATTATTAAAAATAAGTTGCCTAGAATAATCATAAAAATGTTCAATTCAATATTTATCAAAATAGAAATGCAATTAATTATTCTTAAAATATTGTTTATTTATCTAAAACTGCTGTGAAATTATGTAATAGGATTTACATAATTTCTGGAACATTGTTAATCTGCTGATGTTTATAAGCTTACCTCAAATATATCTTCTCTTGATACTTCTAATCTACAATGACCAGACTGTTGTTGAAGAGAATGAAGTTCTTGTCTCAAAGATGCTAATTTCTGTACTATATCTCTCCTATGTCTCGTTATAGTATTCTCACCATTTTCTATTGTTGTATTTGAAAGTGATTGCAATACTATTCCACTATTACTGACGCAGTTGTGATTACTGGAACTAACTTGTCCAGCAGGATTATTACTTGAAGTTTGGGAACCACTGAATCTTCTAGTACTACAAAATTACAAGAATTTTTATCAAATTGTAAATTAATCATTAAAGTACTATTTGAAGTAATTTTTAATTAAAAAGTTCGTTTAATACTATTTTAATTAATTGCAGTATTAAAATAGTATATCAAACATAATTCGTTCATTACTGTACTGTTAATAAAATGTTCAAAAACAATATGTTGTAAAATTCACTTATTGTAATTATGGACATTGTTTTCAGTGAATTATTGTTATATGTTTTGGAACACGGTAATTCTGATGTCAAAACACACATATAAAACTTTTTATTGTAATCAGAGTTTGATTATTAACATCATTTTCTTCAGGCAAATAGAATAAAAAAAACTGTAAGAAAAATATACCTATTAGCCTTAACACATAGCTGATAACATGCAACTGTTATCAGTCTTTATAATAATTGCTATTTGCTTACAGTATAACATTTTAAATTGTTGAGAATTTATACTTTTATTATACATCATGTGTATTGTTATTAACTAATAATGATTTTCTATATTTTTAAATTGTTTTATAATGTCCTTTTAATGCCAAAATTAGTAAAACCAAATTCCCATTAATTATAGTCCTAATTATTTATCTCATTTAGTGTTGATAGTCAGTTTTTAATCAGTACTGATAAGCTCTAAGTAATTACAAAAAATAGTTATTATTATATAATTTATACTAATATTATAAAGAGGTAAAATTTGTAAGTTTGGATGTAGGAGGTAATCTCCGAAACTACTCATCCAATTTCAAAAATTCTTTCACCAATATCTAGAATGGACCTTCAGGGTGGACATAGGCTGTATATTATTCTGTTAAACATTCATATAAATTAAAAGATACTATCTAGGTAAGTGTTATATTTTTGGTGTCAGAGGGTGGCAAGGGGCAAGACATGTATGTATACAAGATAGGTAACTGCGCAGCACAGTCACATTTCTTGTCATTTTATTTAATTAATTAATTATTAGAGAACCAAAGCATACATTAGAGTCTGGAGCTTAAAGTAGTAAAAAGTTGCATAAGACAATTACAACAATCATAAACCATGAAGAAAAAATTAAGTGTTCTAATAAAGTTGTCTTCTGTTTTGGCATGTAATAATATACATATATGTTACTGTGAATGACCGATATCTTGCAAATGTCGAGATTCTCCGGTGAATGTCAACATTCACACAGTCATTTCATGTATGTACGAAATATTTGCTAAATATCATTATTTCTCACTTACACAGGCAAATGTCGACATTTACCATGCACTGATGGTGAATGTTGAATAAAAATATTTTTATTATGTTTTAAGACAAAAATGCAATTTTTTAATATGTCAAAATAAGAGAAAGCTTAAGTAACAGCACATGTAAATAAACTGTTGAATCTAAAACAAACAGTACATTCTAAATCATTAAAGAAAATAATACAATAATAAACTTACACATGAATTATGTGATTAACATTATACAATCTTATTTGTTGCAACAACTTAAACTGTTATGGCACTTTGAATTGCACAAGAGTCCCTTGCTTTTACAACTGCATTTATTCGTGGAACACTTCTTTTTGCAATGACAGCGTGTATAGCCTTGCCCGCCACTTTTCGAATTAGCCGCAGCTGCTTATCTCAGCGATATTTCTTGAAAAGAAATCTCATCTATGAAAAGTAACTTTTCTTTACAAATTACGAACTGATTACATTATTATGTGATTATGAACTGATCTGTTAATGGTGTCTTTTATTCGGATACTGCCAATGCCTTACCAACGTCCCCTCTCATCCTCCGCCACTCGACCTCACACAAACCAATCCCCACCTCATGGGATAAAAAGAACAAAAATGCCATCCAGTGATAAAGTGGAGGGGTTCCACCAAATCGCTGCCGGGAAAAGAGGTACGACTTTGTCCTACCTCCGACTACCCACAAAGGATTTGGTGACAGACTGTCACCTCACTGTCAGTATCGGCTTTTCGGATGTTGTTTTGACCTCCACCAAAGCTTATCTGTGCTTGTCGACATATACTGGCGATTGTTCGAATGTATAATAATATAACCAAATATTCGGTCTCTCACCAAAGTATTTTGTATGTGTTGACATTCACCGGAGAATATCAACAGTCTCTAATTTCGGTCTTTCACAGTAACATATATACAAGGCAGGCATGTTTGGAAAAGACGGAAAAACTTTTTACTTTATAGATTGATGATTTGATCAAAAAACAAGTTTCTGTTACTCAAATAATTTTAAATGGATAAAGCTAAGGTTTTGTTTGCTGAAATTAAGAAAGAAGAAGATAGCAATAAATCATTTGTCACTAGTAAGAAATGATCTTTGTAGTTTTAAATTTTTCTCAAAAATTCATAATGTTAGCTTGTCTGGGGAAGCTGCAAATATGGCAGTAGCTAATAAATATCTAGCCAAATTACAAAGAATTATAAATGAAGGTGAACATCCTCCTGATTTAGTCTTCAGCACAGATGAAACAAAACTGTATTGGAAAAAGATGTTATCAATGCCCTTCAATGCCTCTGAAAGAAGTCTTCTTGGTTTTGAAGCTTTAAAACAAAGGAGGCCATTTCTTAACTTTGCTTCTGGAGTGTAATACATCATTAGTTTGTAATTCAGCTAGCTATTCATTATTTGCAACAATATTGACACTTGCAGCTTCCCCAGACACTTAACATTTAAATCTTTCTCAAAAATTCATAATCTAAAAAGATCATCATTTACTAGTGACAAATGTTTTATTGTTATCTGCATCTTCCTTAATTTCAGCAAACAAAGCCTTACTTTTATTCATTATAACCATTTGAGTAACAGGAACTTGTTTTAGTGAAATCATCAATCCATGAAGTCAAGTTTCTCCATGTTATTGAAACTAAAACCATTGTTAGTGTACCATTTGAAGACATCAAAAACAACAATAGAGATTGAGAAAGCACTTTTTCCAGTTTTTGGCATTACAATAAAAAAGCATGGGTTATGCAAACTATTTTTACTGAATGTAATGCTCATTTCTTTTGCTCAGATGTTTCCAAGTTTTACAAAATTAATAATTTGCCTAATTATGTTTCATTGGTCATGAATAATGCTCTTAGCCACCCAACTAATCTTCAGACATCCCTAATAGCCATTTAGACATCAAGGTTATCTATTTACCACCAAATACATCAATTCTTTGACAAATGGTCTAATGCAGGATTGCAACATTCAAGGCATACTATCTGCAGACAACCTTTAAAGATATAATAGAAGCATTTGTGAAATCCATGATTTTTACACCGATGATGGAAAAATCTTTGTAAACAACTCCGAGGAAAAAACCACTCTTGGCGAGAAGTATATCGGAGGTCACCGATTGTTTTCACATTAAGGTGGGAAAGTTGACACTTAGCTGATCAGAATGCACCATAAGGGTCAACAGAAGTTGATTACGTAACTCATTTCCCACGAATAATGTATAAAAGCTCAAGTCCCCAGAAGCTCCGGGTGATCCCTCGGAAGCTATACTTGGTAGATGTGCCATATTTGTCTCCATACTCTGGACCGAAAGGACATACGACCAACCACAGCCATTTGAACTTCCATCGCCATTAACAAACATATCCAACGAACGCATATTAGACATATCCGCATAGAGGTATTTGTACTTTTTAGAGCTTTGTGAACTCTCTCATAGACTAGCAGGTAAAGCTATTAGAGTGTCCCTTTTGTATAGTGAACTTATTTAATCGCATTTAACCTATGTATCCAGCTTAGTTATATAAATAAATGCTTGTTTAGTTTTTAAACCTATCTCCTGTCTCTGAAGGACACCTGCCGACTTACCGACACACTCCCAACTCAATTTGTTTTTGCCCTCCTAGCCATCTGACAAGCCGAGAACAGGTTTTACCAACCTGTTGCAGAGTAAGGGGTCATTTGGGATGAGCCCAGTGGCCACTGCTAATCTCACACAATTAACATAATGACAATGAAAGCAATGACAGTGAAAGTATTGGTAAGTCCTATCACATTTGAAGATAATCATTTCTTCTTGGAAAGAAGAGAACATGTTTTGGACTATGCTAACACAGAAACAGTGATAGAAGTGGTAGAAGAAATCAAACATGATGCACAATCTTCATTATCAAAACAATGATGCTCAGAATATCAATGAATTATCTGACAACTTTCAAAAGACCTTGAACAAATAGAACAGGTGTTGGAAGAAGCAATTTTCTACTAAGCAAACTTCTTCATTTTGCTTCATGAGCTTCAGAAATTATCTAGAGCTTCATGCATTTTGCAAGATTTTCTTGCAAAATGCATGAAGCTCTAGATAATTTCTGAGCCAACAACCCTAACTGGTAGTGTAACTTCACAATCTTCAGTAGAATCAACTCCCTTCTCTAACCCTATCACATTTTGCAGAAAGGATGTAGAAAAACCCAGATGCAACAGTCAACACTGACCAAGTTCCTTACAAAAGTACAATATGCAGAGTCATGATTTAGAAAGCTTGCCATGCAGCAGACTTCAGTGATCCCAAAGAGTGAATGAAATTTTTGTACTAATTACTGAATATTTTTATCATTTTATGCTTGTAAAAAATGTTAATTTAATTTTTGACAATAAATATCCTAAGTTATACACAGAAAAGTAATAGAGTTTGCATGTTTAAAAAAAAGAATATCCGATACCTTGCATTATGATTTTACCTCAATTTACAACCTCTTCTGGTAGAACTAACCATGGTGTAAATTGAGGGCTACCTGTACTAAAGCTCTGAAACATGCAGACTAATGATAATGATATTATTATTATTAATAAAAAGACATCAGATGCACAAAATATTAAAGTAATTGTATACATTGAAAAGACATACAATAAATAACTATAGTATACAGAAAATGAGAACTTACTTGAGAATATTTTGGAGAACAAGACTATTTGAAAGACGAGGATCTGTAAATTGTGTAGTTCTATTATTATGATCTACAAAATAAACTCTTCCACTAGCAGTATGTCTCATTTCCCAGCCTGCTGGTAAAGGTCCTAAGTCATCTACATTAATTCCTGTTAAATCTCTTGGTACTCTGGGATCATGCCATGTACTAACACCCGTTGCTATATGGTAGAAATATACTTGACCTTGCTGAGTTGTCCTTATTTCTGTAAGTAGATTTTATTATAAAATAAATTTGTAATTATTTTGTGATCACTAATTTTTATCCTTTATAAAACATTACCATATCCCTCAGGAAGTTCTACAGCTTGATGCAAATGATTCCTAGAAAGATAATTTCTATGTCGCGTAGACCGCCTTCTTGATGAAGAATGACTACCAGTCTGAATACTATCTGTATTTTGATTGCTATTATTATTTTGCTGAACTTGCAATCTCTCAGAATTATTAATATATCCATTTGCTGAGGCAACTTCATTAGCAGGCCTGTAGATAATTTTATATTTAAAAATTACTTCCTGGAAATATTTATATACTGCTGTTAATGCTTTATTTAAGTTACCTTGTTGGTTTCTCCCATTGAGTTGATCTAGTGATATGATTAACATAATAAATTCTTCCTGAAGCAGTTCTTCTTTCTTCCCATCTAAATCAAAAATTATTAATGAGAATATTTTAAAATATTTTCCAACAATATATAGATATTAATTGATTACTTTCACTCTAATAAAAAAATTATTCTTATGATAATTAATGATAATTCTATAATATTAGGTTTGGATGTATAGTGTTAACTGAAACAAATTTTTAATGTTTGAATTTTTAATTATGCTTGCAGAAACCCAAATAAAAACAAAGACCATTTTTCATCCCAGTTGATTCAAGTACTAATGAATTAAATTTCTAATTTAGTAATAAATTGGGTTGTTATATTGAGTTGATCAATTAATTTTTCATATTTAACAACATTAAAATTAATATATGTCTTTTTTTGAATATTAAAAAAATACCTGTAATTATTCATAGAAGTATTCATTAAAAATACTTTTTCCTCTCAATTACAGTTAAACTTAACTTCATAGATTAAAGTTAAACTTAAGAGTAGAATTAAATTAGATTAATAACACTTTAATCTAATTGAATTTATTATTATATTACTTTTTATGTATTAAAGTTCAGTATGGATGATGTTAACTTGAAATATCCTTATTTGAACTTATAAGAAATACGACAGTGTTGTTTCCTGTTTTCCACTGATCACAAAAATTAGAAAACAATTTTATTTCATGTACTATAATGCAAACATTATGTTTTGGCCATCATCTTGTGATAACCAAACAGGCAATATAAATAGTAGCTAAAATAAAATTATGTTCCAATAAATCTTGCAAGTCTTTATGATTGATGGAAAACAGGAAATGAATTCGTCATATTCCGCACATGTTTGAATGAGGATTTTATATATTAATTCAAAACTTTCAATTTTACTGTTGCAGATTAATGTTTTCTTGATCTCATTTTTAACAAAAGGAACTTATTACTTGCTAACCTATACATGAGATACCAAACAAGAAAAATGAACATAAGAAACTATCAGGGTAACGAACTTACCCTGAATACACTTGGAATATACTTGATTGGTAGAGGAGGCTATGGGCAAAAAAAAAAAACTGACATGGGTTACTGGAAAGTTGATATAACAAATAACAGACAAATAACAAAATTCTGGATAATCAAGAGAGTGTTAAATAATAATATAATTAATTCTAAAAAATGTAGAATCCCATACTGATTTTATGGATGATAAAAAATATTTAAAAAATTCATATCAATTCATTTAAATAATTAAACCAAAAAAAGTAAATATTTATTATTCTGATAATTATCTGTGCTTTGTAAATGTTACTATATGGCTTATTTATTTTGTCTCTTCAGTTCTATTGAAAATCATCTCATATGGGACAGTAATGTAGTATTACACTAATGTAGTAATCACACTAAGGTGTAAAAAATTGTTATGCTGATTCAAGTTTTTTCCTCGCAAGTTTGTCTATAAAGTTGGATTATATCAGATTTACAAAATTAAATGCTGTTTAAATTAGTAGATCTGTTCATATAACTATGTTTTGAATAATAAATAAATAAAAATATATAAAATGCATACAAGAAATTACATTTACAGATGATAATTCACATAAAAATAAACTATTGCAATCTTCACAGATTAATTACACATCAACCAAAATTATCATTACAGAAATGCTTTTATAACATGAAATATATCACAGTATTATAAATAACAAAATTATATAACATAATAAATTTAAAAGAAATGAAGTTTTACCCATCTGGTAGATCATCTGGACAAGAAATATTTCCTAATTGATCAGAAGTAACATTATGATTAGATGAAGCACTTCCATCTCTGGACATAAGGCTAACAATAAGTTGTCCTCGAACCGGTTCTGGATCATCTGGACTTCTGTGTGACAGAGTTAATCTATGATCTAAATTAAAGCAATAGTTTCATTTTAATTTATTATTTAAATTATCATCAACTATTATTAATTTTAACATTTATTATTTATAAACAATAAAAATGTATATATAAACAAAATATATTTTATTGATGTTACATAAATATATTAACATATTTATTTATTATTAAATTCAATATAACTTTTATAAGATTTTATCTTATTCTACCTTAGCAAACAGAAAAATAGATAATGCTGATAAATTATTAATAACTATTAATAGTTTTTATTGAGCTTTATTTAATACAGTCAACCCCCTTATAACATGGTAGATATGTTCCGTTTTTTTATGAAATTCATGTTGTACAAGTCCTTAAATACATGAGCCAATCACAGCCTGGCATGTATGCAGTTTACAGACTATGGCTATTTGAAAGGTTTTCTTCCATAAAATCTTAATCAATTCTAGACTAATTTGACTCAACATTTCCAAAACACGTATAATTTCTTGGGAATAATCCATATAAACTATGCTATAAACAAAAAATTGTAGGATTACTTACCGAGTGTGCACCGTTCAACGATGCCATTGCTTAATTAACCGCTATTGGTCTAGATTCGACCAATCCTGTCGCAACATGAGTTGGCGATGATGTTTTACCATATTTTATGAGTTTCTTTTAGCGTGTTTATACAAATACAGTCGCAATTTTTTCGTCGTTATATACAAATCCGCATTATATGAACCCATTTTATAGAGGGGGGCTACTGTACATTCAAATTAGTGGAATTTTAATAAGTAAGCCTATGAAGATGTTTTACTTGTAAAGTTAACTAAAATCAGTAATTAGCTTAATCTGTTAGTATATTAAACCAAAGCACAAATAAACATGAAAATCCACAAAAATAATAAATTAAAAGTCAGACCCAAAGAATTCTAATATTACTTGATTTATATTTAAACATCAGTATACTTTAAATTTCTAAATTTTTTAAAATAATTTCTGTGGAGTAATCACAAAAACTTAGTATAATCTATATAAATTTGACAATCATACTACAGCACCTAATGTTTACTGAGAAAAACTATTTATTAAACTGCTTTTACAAATTTTTCAACCTATTTTTATAGGCTATCTTTGTAGAATTCAAACTATAAATAATTACACAAATAAATTTAAATATAAAATTTGAACATTCTAACATTTTAAAATACAAAATTGCAGGTGAATAAAGTAAATTAATAAATAAATAATGAACAAGATATGAGATTTAACAAAAATAAAAACAAAAATTAGAAATAAAAATAAAGAACAAAATTGACTGCAGGAGGATACATAAGTCAAAGGTTTTTATGTCTTAATTTCTTTTCAATGGTGTATTTCCAGGCTGAAGGTAATGCTTTTGCATCTGTCATTCAGGCAATGGTCTTTGATTTTGCTTTTATATCCATGATCAAAAAGTATTTGGAATGATTCAATAAAACTCAAGATTTGAATTTATTCATCAAAATTTATTTCATTTCCTTCAAAGTAATCTCCTCCCACAGCAATGCACTTATGCCAATGTTTTTTCCATCCTCAAAAAATGCTTTAAAGTCATTTTTGTGAAATCCTTGCAGCAAATTTTGTTTTATGGCATCAGTCAACTCAAAACAATGAGCAAGAAACAGAAAACAGAGCTTGAAGATCATATTTGGTAAATTTTGGCCAAAAATTCACAAATGAGAATTATGAGCAGAAGCATTATCATGGTGCAAAACGCAAAAGTTTTCTTGCCAAAAAGCAAGTCGTTTTCTATGAATTACTTCACATAAATGATGTAAAAACACTCAAATAATATTCTTTGTTGACAGTTTGACCAAAGGAATGTGTTACAAAACACCATGACAATCAAAAAACAGTCAACATGAACTTGATTTTTGAGTGACTTTGTTGTGGTCTTTTTGGCCTTGCTTCACCTGTAGACAACTGCCATTCACTTGACTGTTAAGCTGTTTCAGTGTCAAAAGTGTAAATCCATAATGATTAATTTTATGAATGATTTTCTTTGAGAAGGCATTTTCTTGGCCACTTGAACACGCTGTTTTTGGAAAAAATTCAAAGTTTTTGGGACAACTCGAGAAGTGATGCACCATAAGCTTAAACAATCTTTTAAAATTGCTTGATAAGATCCAAATGATACTGGAACATGTTCAATAATGTCCCAAACTGTTAAATGACAATTATTCAGCACCAAATTTCTGTAAACAAAAACAAAAACACTGAGTTCGGCGTAAATGCACATTTAACGCCGAACTCAGTGTTTTTGTTTTTGTTTATTTATTAATTTGGCGTGTTAGTCAACATATTGTTTACCAAATTTCTGACTTGAGCAACATGTCATTCATCAGCTGAAGTGAATGGTCTTCCAGAACATGATTCATGTTCAACATGTTTTCTGCCTTCCTCATACAAACATCTTGTACCACTCAAAAACTTGTTTTTAACAGATTGTCATCACCAAAGGCTTTTTGCACCATTTCTAATGTTTTTGTAGCAGTAATTCCATTGTGAAAACAAAAGTTAATGCATATTCTTTTCTCAATTACACTCAACATTTTAAAAAATTGTCAGCACTAAACTTCTTTACACACAAAACAAGTGTTTATTTGCAAATGAAAACAGACAATCACATACAGATTGTTGCAAGATGTTGATGAAAGTCATACCAAATAACAAAAAAAAATAATGCAGCACTGTCTTGACCATGTGCAGTTTAAATGAACCATTCCCAATACTTTTTAATCACAGTAGTATTTCTATTTTTCCCATGTTCAGAGTTGGAGAATATACTATTTTAACAATGTTTTCTTCATCACACTTCACATTTGAGCCTTCTATCTGCAACACTGCAGCTAAAATTGTATTACAATGACCTACTCATAATGCTCATAATGAAAATTCATAAGCTCATTCACAATGCATCCTAAATATTATATGTAAACTTATTTATTCTATTATTTATCCTTGTTTTCTTCATCAATCTTGATGAGCCCTTCTGAAATGAATGCATTACAACCCAATATTGTTGCAACTTCTTTGATTCTATAAATTTCTTTTATTCAGTCTTGTATATTGAAGTAATACAAAAAGTCTTAAATCAAAAAGCTTCTAATAAGTGTTTTCTAAATGCAGAAAGTTTATTTGTATGGGTCATTGGACCATGATGGGATATACAATGTTGGTTTGATATAAATCACATTCTAGAACCTTAGGAGTCCAGTAACAAAAACACTTTAATAAATAACTAACGTTTTCGACCGTACCCTGGTCTTCCTCAGGTTTATAAACCAGTACAATATATATATACATTCATATTTATATCTCCTTGTTTAAAAGTGATGTCAATATCCAAGTAGTGAGCACCACTAGTACTCTCTTGTTCCAGTTTTATATTCAAAGTGTTATTGTTATATATATATATATATGTACAAATTTGCATAAGTCCTGAAACAAGACTTCCCATTGGAACTCCTTTCTTTTCCTTGTACTGTACATTTTTCTGTTGAATTTAAAAAAATGACTGGAAGCAAAGTAGTTTGGCTAACTCCTTCATTTTATTTGTATGAAGAAATAATTCTGGTGTTTGGAGAACCATGACTTCAATTCCTGCATCCTAGCACGACTAATTACTATTAACAATAGGGGTGGCATAACTAAAATTCATAACAGTTCCAACCTTCTCTTTCATTAAAGGTAAGTCTTGCAATTCCCTTACAACTTTACCTGGATCATGTGCAACATAAATATTGTTCTCAAGTTTGCTGAAAATGTATTTTTGTTAAATCTCACATTATTTATTTCATTCTCCTTCAATTTTGTATTTTAATGTATTAAGTTTAAATGTAAAATTTAAAAATTCAAATATTCTATTTTTGTAATAACTTATATTTTGAACTCTAAACCTAAAGACAGCCTATAAAAATAGATTTGAAAACATTTGTAAGAGAAGTTTAATAAACAGTTTTTCTCAGCAAACATTAGGTATTGTAGTACGATTGTTGTATCTTTCTGCTGAATGTGAGTTATATTGTGTTTGAATTTGTTTCAAATAAAATAAAGCAAATCATTTTAGCATGGAAAACTGACTTTAAATAATAGTTTTGCCCAAAATATGAAAGTTGACAGTCAAGTTTATGAAATTAATTAATTATAAATAAATTATTAATAATGTAAATATTAATTTGTTTTAATTAAGTAATTTTACAATTATGAAATTTGATAAACAATCAGCCAAAACTACTTCAATTATGAATACAAATATATTAACAATAATTCAAATGTAAAAATTAAAATCAAAAATATTTTTCAAAGATTAGATAAACTGAAATGCTACTTACAGCCTGTATTTTTAAGTCTCTGAATATCATTTGACATTATTCGAATACAACCTAAAAAACCAGCTCCTTGTTTTTTATGAATTTTTTTATGATTCCATACACTAACTGTGATGATATCATTATTTCCAATATAACTGAAAAGTTAAAAATAATTCATTTTAAAATTTTAGATTAAAGTAATTTTATATTTAAATAATACATATGGAATGTTCCATAAGAGTTTCTGATATCACTCAATATTTAGAAAAACTTTTTTCGTCTAATAATTTTAATATTTGTTGTACAACTTCAAAGTCTCTTTAAATACTTAAACTGCCTTTTTGTTTTTATATCTCTTTATTTTTAAATAAGTTTTTTCCTAATCNTTTCAAATAAAAGTGTTTTTGTTGAAAGAAAATATTTCAACAAATGTCTGCATTCCAGAATATTAAATGAATTATTAATATATTTGACCAGAATATAATTTTTGATAAACAACAATGTTTCTAATGTTAAAATAATATGATAAATTCAAACATATTTTAAAGTTCTAAATTATATGAGAATGATGTGAAGTGATCTATTTAACAGAAAAAAATTAATTTTTTTTTATTCCTTAATATAGTACAGGCCAATTATCCAGCAAGTTTGGAACCAGCAGTGGGAAACTCTCATGAAATATTCTATACATTTAATTCATTTAAAAAATTTTTAAAATAAATTTCAAAATTATTACAGATCATAATGTTGATTCCATCTAGGATCAAGAGTATTTTTGCATGTTTCAGTTGAATGGCACTGACCAGATCCATTTACATTAATTTTACAGAACGGATCAGGCAATCCTAGAAAATTTTTTTAAATTCATACTTTAGAATATTTTTTTTGTAAAAATTAATGATTCTTAACTCAAACTATACTCTATAAGCTAATTAAATCTATTTCAAAATAGTCTTCAAAATTTCTTCATTAATTATCATGTTAACTATTAATTAGACAGAATTAAATAACCTAATAAATAGAGTATAACAATTTGCAGGGCTTAATAAGCCTTGCAAATTGTTATACCATAACTAAGACTACTTGAAGTCACAGGGATGATCTGTTGCAATAACCCCTGTGCATCAATGGTATTGCCAATTCTGGAAGAACTGTAGCTGTTACTTTCAAAAGTTAAAGACAGTGACTAAATCAATTGTATCCAAACATTTACTAAATTTTCAAATGCATTTGCTAACCACTATTTCTATGACTGAAAATTGAACCCAAATCTTGTTATTGTGATTGTATGGATCATAGCTACAAAACAAAGTTCTTTTCTGAAGTTACTAAAAAGAGGTTCTTTAAAAGTAACTAGATTATTCATGAAATAATTTTAAGGAACTTTAAGATGGAACAACTCTCAACTTAAATCAACAACTCAAATTGGAGATATTTGGTAAATTAGAAATATAATTTAAATTTAATTTAAATGTTATAAATGTGACAGAATGAGCATTCCAAGCAGAACATTGAAACTGAAGCAGGATGATCAAGCTGCTCAAAAACATTTGTCATATTTATTTAGTTTCTGGAGTAAAGAAAAGGTTATCTAGTCAATATTATAAGTNTACTGTACAGTTTTAATTATTTGTTCATATTCAACAAATATACACAAATTCAAACAGTAAATCCAAGTAGCATCAAATTCAACAATAAACTATAAGATTACTTTTAAACAGAAATTAATAATTTAAAACACTATTAGCATAGACTCACTATCTGTTGGTTATTTGTTGATAAATAATATATAAACAATTTTTAAGTAATAGTAAATTGAAACTATTTCAAGCCAGATTTTTCCCCAATATTTCTAAATTATTAATAAGTTAATAGATCCAAATTGTTTACATTTATCTAATGATGATAACCATCTATCTAAATTAAACTGATTTTATAAATTGATTACAGATAAAACAATTGAAACATTTTATTCAAACTGAAATTAGTTTATTTTAAAAATATTCTGTAATTTCAAAAAATATATTGTATTATATTATTAAACATTTCAAAACAGACTGATTTATCCCTTAATTACAAATTAATATCAGAAGAAACTATTATATAAGAAACTGTTAGTATAGCAGTTCTTATACTGTATTTGGATGACAAACTTTCTTTGCATTAACAACAGAGCAGTTTTATAGAGCTATACTGAAATGTTTAGCACATTTGATAATTATTTATTCTAAATGTGCTAAATATTTCAGTATAGCTCTATAAAATTGCTCTGTTGTTAATGCAAAAAAAGTTTGTCATCCAAATATAAGAACTATTTACTATGTTTTAAGAATTTAAAATTAAAACTCTTAAAACATAGTAACATGATAAGCTGCTTTTGTAGATGAATGCAAGTATTTTTAGTAAGTCTAGTGTCTGTAAAGTTTGATAAAGTCATCTAAAATAAAACTAGTAGAGACAAAGCAACCATAACTGTACGCAGCTCATTTATCTGCCAAAACAATATGGATAAAATGAATGTATGTGTACTAAAGTATTAAAGTTCAACAATATGTTTACAAGCAATTATTTATTGATATGTATTTGAATAATAATACTTCTTTAAGAATATTCAGATTTTTAAATATGTATATCCTATAAAACTAGAATAGAACTGTTTAGAATTGTGTAAATTTTAATTATGTAAGTTAAACAAATTAAAACTTATACACTGTTTGAAACAAACTTTTAGAATTGTTTCTAAACAATCAGTTGAAACATTTTTAACTTTTGATTTAAACTTTGAACTTGTTAAATATTTTTCTTTTTAGAATTATTTAGATTTAATGTACAAAATTATATTTTACTGAATTTCTGAATATACATTCTAAACTTAAAATATTAACTATATTACTATGACAGTTTTGTTTGTTTATTTTTCAAATAAAAGTGTTTTTGTTGAAAGAAAATATTTCAACAAATGTCTGCATTCCAGAATATTAAATGAATTATTAATATATTTGACCAGAATATAATTTTTGATAAACAACAATGTTTCTAATGTTAAAATAATATGATAAATTCAAACATATTTTAAAGTTCTAAATTATATGAGAATGATGTGAAGTGATCTATTTAACAGAAAAAAATTAATTTTTTTTTTATCCTTAATATAGTACAGGCCAATTATCCAGCAAGTTTGGAACCAGCAGTGGTATGGACTTCTGAATTTTCTGGACACAAGATAAATATATACTTAAACTATAAAATAAACAATAAAAAGTAAGAATGAAAATGTATTTAACAGATACAAATCAATATACTTCTAAAGCAGGCTTTGTTTAATCATTATTAATCTTAAAATATAGAATACCATGTACTGTACAGTGTAATATTTAGGCTGAAAATTAAGCAAAGAAAGTAAAGAACATAATTGAACTGATATTGTGTGATGCATATGCCATGGAAATCAACACTAGCCAATTTCAAAACTAGGTGGTTTTTTTGGAAACTGGGTAATTGGTCTGGTACTGTATCACAATGTAATGTAACAGGTGTTATATTAAACTGTTTCACAATTTTTGGCTTCTTAAAAGCAACTTTCAAGCTAATCAGAATCAATATAACATAGAAAGCAGTTGAATGAATTTGATAATGGAATAATTTATTTCAATTAACATAAAGCAACCCAAATTTAAAGTATAGAATTTTTTATTTTAATATTATAAAATAAGTATTAAAAACAATTAAAACTGACATATAAAGAATATTATATAGTATGAAAATAACAAAAATTACATGAGTTAGTTTTCTTCTACAGGATATAAGAATAAAAACTGCTGTTTTGAGAAAGTACAGTAGAGCCTCGATTATCCGACCTCTGATTAACCGACACCTCGGTTAACCGACCGTCCTAGTCGGCAAATTTCAAATGTCCGCTAGTGATGTGGCGCTACAATATTTGGCTATGTCTTGGCTACTTTAATATTATTTTTACGTGTTTTAGCTGGCAACACTCATTCGACCATGAAAGGGAGCCAGTATTTAAACGAGGCTTAATTTTCTAATTTTTAACGATACAGTAGCGACGATTATTATTTTAAAAAATTTTTGTTAGACTTAACATCGATGAAAATTCAACGCAAAGTAGGTTAATAGCGATATACTAATATACTAATTACATGAGATATAATAATATACTACACTAATAATGGATTTTTTCATACTTTTCAGTTATCCAACTTTTCAATTATCCGACCAACCCCAGTCCCCAATTGAGTCGGATAATCGAGGCTCTACTGTATTGAAAAACACCAATTGTAAAATATGAAGAACACAAACTAATCCTAGAATGCTATTTAATAAGAATAAATATAAATATGTTGGTAAACAATATACCATTGAATAACTACAACTAAAGGATAATCCAAAACAAAGACAGCATAAACATTTCCTAGTAAGTTAATGGAATGATAAAAGGTCAGACAAATTGCTGAACAGTTATAAATTGTTTTAGTGTGATATTAAGAAATCAGAAAAAAGCTATCAATACTAGTAAGCAATAATTAAGAATTGGAAAAAAAAAACAACAGGTTATAAAATTGATTTAAATGCTATTAAATAACAGTGCATCATGTTATTACTTTATATCATCTTCCACATTAAAAGAAAATTTAAAATCCAAAATTACATCATGATCAGTAAAAGACTATCTCACAACAATGTTTTAAAACAAAATAATTTTTGACAGATCATATTGAAAAGAGCATTATAATAACCAAAAATCAGTGCAGAAAGATTTACAAAAGAACCTCAAAAAGAATTTTAAAATTATTTTTCATCTTGTGATATGCATAATGACATCTGTTAACCCAGAGAAATTATTACTGATGACTAAAGACAATCAAAAGCATTATAAGCATTAATTAAAAGCATTTTTGGTTAATAACTTGTGAAAGGTCTCATGAAACATTATTTGTTGATATTTAGTTACCTTTAGAAGAAATTTCAGTTGTTGGACCAAGTATTAAAGAGAATTTGGATAATATGAAAGCATTAAAAAGCGTTCAACAGCATATTTATAGGTCAAATGGTATTCTAAATCATTTCTATACTGAACTCAGTATGAAAACTCATGAACAAATGTGCTGCTTAGTAACATAGTTGCCAATTGTCTTAATTTTTTCATTTATGTATTAAAATTAATATAATTTATTTAACATTTACAATAAACAAAAGAAAAAAATCATATATCATAAAAAATGAATAATTATCAGTGATGGGACAATACCAAAATTTCTACCAATTCTGATTCTGCTGAAAACTCCAGATTCCAATACAATTCCCAATTTCAATTCTTTTGAATGCTTTCTAAAGTTTATTTTAGTTTAGAAAAATAAAAATTAATAATTTACATTATAAGCACCGTACATTCGTTAATTAATAAACATCAAACTTAAGAATGGAAAATGATTGGGAAATCTAGAATCAATCTTTCGAAAGAAACATAAAAATTCTCCATTTTTGTGAAGCCCCAAAAATGAGTTGAAATTAATATTTATTATTAGAAAAATATTAAAACAGAAACTAGAAAAAATCGTCTATTGTTAAAAACCGATCAAAGATCGAATTAGTTGTGTTAGTCATAAGAAACCGCGACGAGAGAGAAAAAACTTTATTGATGTAAACAGAATGTAATAATTTTAAATGATTAATTAATAATAGTAAACAAACGACCTCCAGCAGAGATGGACCTTTGAAAAGTCGTTCATATGCACATAATTAGAACATAGAAATTTGGAAAAGAGGAAAGATTAATGACGAAAAAGGACATCGCGTCGTGTCGTTAAATTTCAAAAACGTCACA